GTAGGTATTTCTATTTCTGCAATTTCTCTCAGCAATGTCCTGTAATTTTGTGTACAGACAGCACACATATCTTGATAAATTTTTCCCTCTGTATTTCATAATTTTATGTAAATGGCATTTTCATTTAAACTTCCAATTGCTCATTACTAATATATAGAGACAAATTTTATTGTTTTTTGACCTTATATTCCATACTTTGTTAAACTCATTTATTAGTTCTAGTGGCTTTTGTTGATTTAGGATTTTCTTCATAGATATGTGATCTGTAAATAGGGAAATTGTATTTCTTTCATTCTAATCTATATGCTTTTTCTTTCTTTTTCTTGCCTTACTGCTAGTACCTCCAGTACAATATTGAAGTAGTGTGTGTAGACATCCATGTCTTGTTCTTGATCTCAGGGTGGAAAGCATTCAGTCTTTCACCACTAACTATGTTGACTGTAGGTGTTTTGTAAATTGCCCTTTATCAGACTGAGGAAGTTCCCTTCCATTCCTAGTTTTGATGGTTCTTTTTTTTAAAAATTTTTATTTATTTATTTGACAGAGATCATAAGTAGGCAGAGAGGCAGGCAGGGGAGGGGGAAGCAGGCTCCCTGCTGAGCAGAGAGTCAGTCAGATGCGGGGCTGGATCCCAGGACCCTGGGATCATGGCCTGAGCTGAAGGCAGAGGCTTTAACCCACTGAGCCACCCAGGCGCCCCTTGAGGGTTCTTTTAAACCAGGAATGGATATTAGATTTGGTCAAGCACCTTTTCTGCACCTACTGAAATAATGTATGTTTTTTAAGATTTTATTTATTTGTGAGGAAGAAAGAGTGTGTACACAAGTGAGGGGGAGGGATAAAGCACTACCACTAAGCAGGGCAGCCAAAGAGTGGCTGGATGCCAGGACTCTGAGATCATGACCTGAGCCGAAGGCAGATGCTTACCCCGACTAAGCCACCCAGGCACCCCAGTTTTCTCTTTCTTAGTTTTTAAATATGATGACTTACATTGATTGATTTTTTTTTAAATGTTAAACCACCACACATTCCTTGGATAAATCTTATTCAGTCATGATGTATTATCCCTTAATATATTGTTGGATTACATTTCCTAAAATTCTGTTTTAAAACTTTTGCAACTATATGCACAAGCGATAGCAGCATGTAGTTTTCTTTCTTGTAATATTTTTTTTAAGATTTTTATTTATTTATTTGACAGAGAGAGATCACAAGTAGGCAGAGAGGCAGGCAGAGAGAGAGAGGAAGGGAAGCAGGCTCCCTGCTGAGCAGAGAGCCCGATGCGGGGCTCGATCCCAGGACCCCGGGATCATGACCTGAGCCGAAGGCAGAGGCTTAACCCACTGAGCCACCCAGGCGCCCCTCTTGTAATATTTTTGTTTGCTTTAGGTATCAAGGTCATTTTGGGATCCCAAAATGAGTTGAAAAGTATTCCTTTTCATATTTTGAAAGTTTTTTTTAGAATTTTTTTTCTTCCTATAAAAAACAATCCTTGATAGACTTCCCCAGGGAAGCCATCTTCTTCTGAAGCTTTCTGTGTTGAGAAGGTTTTGAAACACAGCCTGAATGTGATACATGGGCTACTTGGGTTATTCATTTCTTCTTAAGTAGATTTTGATAACTGGTATCGTTCATATTTTTTATTCATTTTCATCTAAGTTGTAAAATTTATTGGCATAAAGTTGTTCATCGTAATTCCCTTAAACTATCTGTAGAGTCTAGAGAGGTGTCACATCTCGTTCCTGACATTATTAATTGGTGTCTTCTCTTTCTCTGATCAGTCTGGCCAGAAGTATGTCAGTTTTATTGATATGAAAGAACCAGCGTTTAGTTTTAGTGATTTCCTCTTTGTGTTTTCTATTTCATTGATTTCTGCTTTGATCTTTACTATTTTCCTCCTTCTGCTTACTTTGGGTTTCATTTGCTCTTTTGTGCTGTCATTTATTGGGATTTTAGCAGGCAGCAGAAACAAATGCGTGGATTCACGCTATGTTTATCCAGAAATCAGAGATGTGATTTGGGAGAAAGAGTTGATGAACTTGGTTTTACTTTTCTTCTTTCTTTTTCTCTTTCTTCTTTTTCTTTTTTTTAATGGAACTGCCATTTGTAGATTCTCCTGGCTGGAAGCTTTGAAGTTAGTATTTAAGAATGCTGGTTCTGGAGTGTGACAAGACTCTGGATTTATATCCTAAGGGACTTATATCCCTTCCTAGCTATGAAGTAATTAAATGTCCCTGAGCCTCAGTTTGCTCATATGTACAATGGAAACATCATCATCTTTCCTTATAATGAGTTAACCACATAAAGCTCCACCTGACCCATAGAGCTTGAAAACCATCAGCTATTATTAACTCTTTTATTACCTTTTCACAAAAATCTATCCTACCCGAAAAGACCCCTTCCTATTCAAGGACTTTTTTTCATGTTAACCCCTGTTAGATAAACCATATTTCTACTGCTCCCTTCAAGAGTGTGGTAGCTAGGGGCGCCTGGGCAGCTCAGTGGGTTAAAGCCTCTGCCTTCGGTTCAGCTCATGATCCCAGGGTCCTGGTATCAAGCCCCGCATCGGGCTCTCTGCTCAGCAGGGAGCCTGCTTCCCCCTCTCTCTCTACCTGCCTCTCTGCCTACTTGTGATCTGTCAAATAAAGAAATAAAATCTTTAAAAAAAAAGTGTGGTAGCTAAATATTAAAAGTTAGCTTTTGTAACAAACCACCCTAAAATTAGTGCTTGAAATAACATTATTTTCCTCTCATGTTTCTTTGTATTGGCTGTGCCTTTTTTCTGGTCTAGAACAACTCAGATCTAGATGATGTAGGATATCTTTATTTACATGCATGGTGACTGGTTCAGTGTCAGCTGAGACTCAGCCATTTATTTCTAATTATCCAGTAGCCTAACCTAGGCTTCTTCATGTGGTAGTAGAAGGACTCCCAAGAGGAGGAAGGGGTAAGCTCTGATGACCAAGTTTCTCCCCCCTTATGAACCAGTGGACATTGTGTGCTTGGCTTCCCTAACTTTATGTCAGTTGTTTCCCCTTACAGTCATTTGCTAACACTCTATACTTATGTCTGACTATCTATTAAAGATATCTTTGAATGTGACCTTTTATCTTGGCAAAGATAGGAAATTAGGCAAAGAACTAAAAAAGAAAAATCTCCAGTTCTAATATGAGAGGGTTCCTGAATAACCTGCCTAACCCCTCTGGGATTCAGTCCTGCCTTGTCTCTGCCAGTTCTCTCAGACCTCAACTCCTCTCCCAATCCAGGCAAGAGCCTGAGCCTCTAAATCAGTTGAACAGCCCCACTTCACCCACAGCTCATAGGTTCTGCTCTGCCACCTGCCAACATGCCAGCCTGTCCATCCTCCAAGTCTGCCCCACCTCCACCTCAGCACAGCCCCTTACCCAGGGACACAGTTGATCGCCAGCTCCAAGCTTCTCCTTTCTTGCTGACCCAGTTTCCATTCCCACAGTGGGTAAGGGCCAGTTCTGGGGATGCAGGAACAGCAACCCCCAGCAGTCACATAGTCTGTGAGCTTACTAAATAATGCTCCAGTGGGTGGAACTGACAAGTGAATGGATCCTACAAGCAGAGACCCATCCCTTAGTCCAGGATGGACTGCACAGGCTTAGTGAATACAGGGCTAAGGCGCTCTCCATGGCTCAGCCCCGTGCCAGCAACGCCATTTGCACAGTGCGTTTTTTGCCTGGAGGCACTATGTCTTATCCAAAACCCTCTCTCTGGAAGAACAGAAAAAGTTAGTGCACCCTCGTCTAGGCTCAGCCAGTTTATCTGCCTCAAACTGGCTCAGCTCCACAGCTGATATGTGAAACCTGGTCTGTTTCTGGTTTTATGATCCACATGTGATGCTCCAGAAAAAAACAAAAATGTCTCTAACTCTGTTTACCAGACTGGGGGTGGGGGGGTACATATAGTTACATATTTCGATACATAAATCTAACTTATTTAAGATAGGACCTTTTGCTCTCCTTATGCTCCACATACAAAAATGTGTGTTCATCATTTTAAAAATCCACAGCATACTGAAGAGAATGAAGTTCCCTTCCTCAATGAGCCCCCAGAGACCCACCCCCAGAATCAACTGTTGTTAACAATATTTTTATTTATCATTCCAGAAATTTTCTACATGTGTGTAAACATGGATTTCTATAACTTCATTTTACACAAATGAATAGGATTTTTTTTTAATTTTATTTATTTATTTGACAGAGAGAGATCACAAGTAGGCAGAGAGACAGGCAGAGAGAGAGGAGGAAGCAGGCTCCCTGCCGAGCAGAGAGCCTGATGCGGGACTTGATCCCAGGACCCCAGGATCATGACCTGAGCCGAAGGCAGAGGCTTTAACCCACTGAGCCACCCAGGCGCCCAATGAATAGGATGTTTTAATACATACTTAGTATTTAGGTCATTTCTAAGTTTTTTCACATGGCCCTATGACTAGACACTTTCAAAAACACAGATAGTCCTTGATTTAGAAGCACATGATAACCTAAAAACTCAATTTGTAAATAACCTTTCTGAAACTCAAAACAACTTTTCAGAGGAATAATGTTTTAAATCCGGATCAACAAACTTTTTCTACAAAGGGCCAGATAATAAGTATTTTCAGCTCTACAGGCCACAGTCCCTGTCACATGTTCTTCTCTTTTTTTGTTTTTATTTACAATCTTTTTAGAATATAAAAACCAATCTTAACTCTTAGGCTATACAAAAACAGGGTGTGGGCCAAACTTGGCCTTCGGATTATAGCTTGCTGACCCTGTTCTAAATAGCAGTTAGGTGCCAAGCTTAGCTCTCAGAAGCAATAGGTTGCTAAGATACGAAAAGAGATACTGTCTTTTATTATTATTTTTTAAAAGATTTTATCCATTAACTTGTCAGACAGAGAGCACACAGGGGTGTGCAGCAAGGCAGAGGTTGAAGCAGGCTCCCTGCTGAGCAAGGAGCCCCATGCGGGACTCCATCCCCAGACGTCCCCAGACCCTGGGATCGTAACCTGAGCCAAAGGCGGATGCTTAACAGAATGAACCACCCGGGCTTCCCAAGATAATATACTTTAAATTGCTCTGTAAACCATAACATCTCTACCAATGTGAAGAACTATTAGTTCTTCAGTACTGAGCATGTGGGTAACTTTAAAACTGTTAATACTGAATAAAAAAGTTTTATGTATCTCAAACTGCATGAATTAGTGAAGAATCTGAATAGAATTCTCAAATGAGAATCTACAAGGCAGCAGAGAGAGATAACATCATGTTCCTTCCAATCCTACCTTTTTTGGCAACACAACATAAACACACCTCGATTCAAATTTGATTGGTTAGTGTGGTGTGAGTTCACTGGATAAGTAAGTGGCTCCTTCCATCAACACAAGAGTGGACCACTGAATTTCTACCTCCTGTGGACACTGAAAAGGCTTTTCTTATGCCTTTTCACAGACACATGCACTGACCTAGCCTTGAATCCTGTCAGCTGTACCTGCTGTAATCTACAAAGGCGGAGAAGAGGCAGAGAGCAGAATAGAGAGGATGCTGGAGAGTCATCTGGTGACGACCTGTATTAGGAGCCTTATTTTAACAATAACAGAAAATCCCGGTCTCATTTCATTGAGCTTTAACCCTTATGACTTGCCTCTTCTCTGTCACAGAGAATAACTTCAGAACATGACTACACTTTTATCTTCTTATAAAAGAAATGCAGAGTTATTTCTGAAGCATCTGGGCTGAAACAGGAAAGAAGGTCAAAAAGAAAGGCACTAAATAGGATCACGTATGAGAAAGGGGTTGACGGGCTGATTTTATACACAGGCAAAGAAGGCAGTTCGTGACATACATGCAATCTGAGAAGGGACGGCCGGGTGGAGGGAAGATGCTGCCCTGGGCATGTGGCTTCATGTCAACAGGGTCCTTAACGCAGTGGCATTCTGTGATATTTCCTTTAGCAAAGCATCCTATAACTTGCTAAAAGGGGTCCTTTCAAAAAAAAATTCTGTAATAAAAAAAGAAAACATAGGCTATCCATACCTTGTATTTTAAGGACCCAGTTGGTTCCTCTGAGTCTTCTTGTCCAAGCAGGTGAGCCAGAGCACAGTGGCAAAAAAAGGGTGTCAATGATGACAGGCACAGTAAAAATATTACCTACATTTGTACACCACTGAAGAGTTTAGAAAATACTTTCCCAAGTACTATCCCCGTAACAACTCTGTAAGGTCAGGGATTTGGAGATGGGTGCAGTAACTTGCCCAGGGTCACACAGCTAGCAAAGGGCAGAGCAGAAAACAGCACTTGAAGTTTCTGAGGCCAAATTCAGTACTCTCCACATCTCCCACACTGCTTCGCAGGAGGTTCCACAGAGACCTGGTAGGAATAGGCATTTCTACTTGTATTCCTCCCCCTGTTCTGTATTTAGTGCTTGGACTCCCATGAACATCACTGTAAGTGTCCTGCACTTATTAAACACATGAAACTGCTGACCCTCAAATAAACCAGCATGGTTTGCTGAGCATTTGCATCTGCACAGGGGAGACCGCAGAGCCACGATGGGATGGGAGCCAACTCTGGGACCGGACTCGGTGGGCTGAAATCCTCAGTGCACGGCTGACCAGCTGTGTGAGCTTCAGCATGTTACTTAACCTCTGATCAGTGTATGAAAAGCATATAGCCCGGTGCCAAGGACGTAACAGAAGTTCAGTAACTGATACAGATTTCACTCTTGCTGAGTCTTCACCTACCTTCTTTGAGACCAAAAGAAAAACTACCAACAAGAGGCTGATTGGTATCTTCAACTCCACTCTCTTCTTTCCAAAGAAAAAAGTCGCAAATACATGAACAGAGGGAATGCCTTGTATATACATGCTCATGGGTTTGGCTAATGAGTCTATCTGGTTGTGCACAGCCTCCACATGCTAAAATAATCCATCCTAGCCCTTAAGCCAAGCTACAATTTAAAAATTTAATAAATGGCACTCATCCTCTAATCTCTCCCTATACATGATTGACAAGCATCAGTGGAAGCATCTTGTGGAAGTTACTGTTCTGGAAAGCTGGGGTAAGTGGGCTGAAAGCCAAAATTACCCAAATAGCTTGAACTCCTGGAATTTATTTCCCAGCTAGTGAAAATAATCAGTTATCAAGGGCTCCCCCTACTGGCACCAAAAAGCAAAGGCTAAAATTCAGATAACATTTATGCAAGGTACAGAGTATTGTGTCTCTTTCTTCTGGACAAGTTCCCGCAACAAAAAGGAATATAAGACTTACTTCAAACTATTTCTCTTTCTGAGGGATGGAAGTTCATGACTTAAAGATCCAAATTTCCTCATAACTAAAAATACATGCATAGAGAGAAAAGTTCACACAGGGGATTCAAAAACTGGGGATGGGAGAGACTTAACATCATGCTGAATGGGAAAGAGCTGAAGGAAATGGGGGTGGCTCGGCGGAGAGACAGGACCAAAGGGTACATAGCAGGAATGATATCTGACAGGCTAGCATGGAAGAAAGATAAGCCTTATGCCATGCAGCCCCACTAGAGGGCGGAGTCATCAGAGAACAGATTTTACCTTATAGAAAGGAAGAACAATTAATAATGAGCACTATCATACATAAGGAACTACAAAGGGCAGGTGTGAAGGATCATCACTGACTGGTGAGTGGGCAGAGAACTAAAATGGATTATACTTAGGATTTTAGTTCTAAAATTCTGAGAATGTATGTTAAAATTCCATACAACTGAATAGTCCTGTTAAGACTGGTTGGTGTCATCCTCAGACTTTTTTTCAATATTAAGTTGAAATTGAAATTTTTTCAATATTAAATTGAAACTTACTATGCTTCATGCCCTGATTTAGTCTCAAAATAATTTTAAGAGAAAAGACGTCAAAATCAAAATAAAGGGTAGATCATGCCAATGTCAACTTCCTAGTTCTAACGTTATACTACAGTTTATGTAAGTTACCATAGGAAGAAGCTAGGTGAAGTGTACGCACGGCCTCTACATTATTTTTGCAATTTCCTGTGAATCTATAATTACCTCAAAATAAAGAGCTTTTACAAATCAAATTAAAGATATTTCCCTACGGAGCACCTGGGTGACTCAGTTGGTTAAGTGTCTGCCTTCGGCTCAGGTCATGATCCTGGGGTTCTGGGATCCAGCCCCACATTGCGCTCCCTGCTCAGTGGGGAGCCTACTTCTCCCTCTCCCTCTGCCTCTGCCACTCCCACTGGGTGTGCTTTCTCGCTCTCTCTGTCAAATAAATAAATAAATCTTTAAAAAAAAAAAAGATATTTCCCCAAGAGGTTCTAAGTAACCTCAAAGACAATCCAGTTCGGTTCAAGAGCGCAGTGTCATCAGCCACAAATGACTCTGTGCAAGTATCCACAGGCAGCAGGGCTCATTTCAAAACCATGATCAATCAGCTATTAAGATTTACAGTTGTGATTAGGAAAGCCTGTCATGCTGACAGGTGTCTAATTTGGTTACGCTGATCATAAATCTTCAACTATCTCAGATCACATCATCAAAATCACCTATAGGCGATACATTCTTACAACTGCTGCCTACATTGTACTACAAAGGAACCACACACAGACTTCATTACTATATTTATCTAACTGTAACACAGTAACATGCTCATATCTTCCTCCCCTAACTATGACTTACAACAAGAACTACAACCTGTTTTTATCTGACTTTATCACCAAAACCTAACCCATTAATAGTTTTTTAGTAAATACTCATAAAACAAGTAAGAAATAAACCAGTAATTAAGTTATTTTCTTCGACTTCTGGGACTTTCTTTGACTTTCTTTTCTGATACAAAGACACCCAAAGAAACATCAGAGTCCCTACTTTGGAATCAGGATTAAGTATATGTATACATGGGGCGCCTGGGTGGCTCGGTGGGTTGAGGCCTCTGCCTTCGGCTCGGGTCATGATCTCGGGGTCCTGGGATCGGGCCTCGCATTGGGCTCTCTGCTCCGTGGGGAGCCTGCTTCCTCCTCGCTCTCTGCCTGCCTCTCTGCCTACTTGTGATCTCTCTCTGTCAAATGAATAAATAAAATATTAAAAAAAAAAAGTATATGTATACATATACATACAAATGTGTTTATGACAAAGTCTACAAAACACAGGTGTTTAATTCCTAAAGACCTTTATAACCACTTGTTTTTGATCTGCTAGTTTCCTAAGACATTGTTAACTCAGCTTGATTTTTTTTTTAAGATTTTATTTATTTGACAGAGAGAGAGAGAGAGAGAGAGCACAAGCAGGGAGACCAGCAGGCGGAGGAAGAGAGAGAACAGGTTCCCTGCTGAGCAGAGAGCCCGAAATGGGGCTCAATCCCAGGACCCTGGGATCATGACCTGAGCTGAAAGCAGATGCTTAACCTACTGAGCCGCCCAGGCACCCCAATTCAGTATGATTTATAATGAAAGAAAGAGGTCAAGCTTTTCCAGATAGGAAAACCAATATGAACTGTTGAACAGATCCCCTGAGCTTATAAGTTCCTGCTAGAATGATCTCTGCCTAGTTTTACCAAGTGCCAAAAACATTCAGCCTCTTTCAGAAATTACTGCGATATCATCTTTGGATTCTTCGATATTAACCAAATGAAAAGCATATGGAAATTTCTCTAACTTTTATCTGTTTATTAAAAATCTTTTTCAAATAAATACTTTGAACAACCATTAACAATCAAAGCAGTGAGATCACTGAGTGTTGCTTCTTTCTGCAAAGAAGGCATACCATTAGCTTGTATAGTTAATGCAACAGCCACATCCAAAGTCAATTAGGCTGTTTTAAACACATGATGGACACTACTTATGATCCCAGAGATACCAAGGACTCCTCGGGGTCAGTCATCTGAATAGGCTCTGAAGCTGGCTTGATCCTTAGAACCTCTGCAAAGCCATCACCAAACCAGCAAGTGACATGTGCTATGTCTACAGTAAAGTAGAAAAGGCGGTCCTGGCAGAGCTTCCGTCGATACACAGACCGCGGGTCGGCTGACAGCACAGCCTCAATGGCATGCCTTGCTTCCTCTGCTGATTGAAAATACTTAAATGAAGGCTGACTGCCATCTGCAATGAGAAGAATACAACTTAATGCTGGTCAAATTTCAGTACAGTCAACTTCAATGTGGAGTATCACACTGAATACACTATCACTTGAAAGGAACTGGGTTTGGCAATCTACTCAGTTCTTACAGAGAATGTTGCTTTCAAGTGATTTCATTAGATTAAGTTTACGCGTGCCCCAAATTTTCATTCACTGAACAAAACCTTCTATGTTCAATGTCGACTCTGATTTGATTCCTTGCCATTCCGTTTCTTCTCAGAATGGAGGCATGGTCAGGGAACTGCATGACAGTCCCAGCACTCTCAGAAAGCCACAAGAAAGAAACTAAACCCACCTACACCCAGAGCACCAGCCATAAGCAAGGGATGGTGTCTCAGAGAGCTGGTGTCACAAGCCCTAGTTAAAGTAACACCACATTCCCTAAGGAACGAGGACTTGGCAGAGTCCTGAACAAAGTAGTATAGATACTCTGAGAAAGTTAAATACCATCACTAGAGTACAAGCCACCCCAAACCACCAAGGTGAGGATGTACAGGTAAACAGATGTACACCCTATTAAGTGGCAAAACTTCCTCCATCTGTGTCATCGTGGATGTTTTTTAATTTTTAAAAATACAGTATAAACAAAACTTAAATAAAAAATTAACTGTGACTTAATTTTTAATAGCTACAACATAACATACATCCAAATAAAGGCCAGGCCCTTCCAGGAAGGCATGTGCTTTAAACAATGTTGTTCCTGTTCAAAATACCATCTGGAGTGGTGGTGGATCTTTATTCTTCTGAAAGTAAATTCAGTTTTTAGAAAACAGCCAAAATCACTTGGGTAGTAAGTTCGTAAATAAAGTCATGAAATTCGAGCTTTGGTCAAAAACCAAGGACCAATTCAACTGTTGATCATGTGGAATCCTTAAAAAAAAAAAAAAAAAAAAAAAAAAAGTCCCATCAAGGACCAATTATGCAGTGCTAAGATTCCTTTACTGCATGGCTCATGAAATGACTCCAAGGCCACTCAAAAAAGAGGAATTCCAGAAACATCACACTCTTCAGTAATAGTGTACCTGGTAAAAGCTTCAGGACTTTGCACAGTTGTTCATTTGGCACAGGTGCCCTTCCATCACTTCCTCTGCCTACTTATTCTTCCAGGCTCAGCTCAAATACTTTTTCCTCCAGGAAGTACTCCCAAATTTTCTCCCTGTTCCCCAAGTCATAATTCTTTTCCCGTCATTTGCCCATAAGCACTCCATTCCAGCGCCAATCCCCCCACTCCTACCACCAACATACGGCCACCATTTCAGTATCTTTTATCTTTTCTAGACTCTAAAGCTTCTGACAGGGTCATTTCTTATTTCTGTATTAACTCCAAATTCTGCTGGTCTAAATCAGTCCCTGTTTTATAGTTACATTTCATAATTTCTCTTTTTAGTGCTTTTTCAAATCAACAAGGCACATTATAACCTCTCAGACACCCAGCACTATAGTTTGAAAAAGATAAAACTTTCCAGAGTAAGAAGCAATCACTGCTAACTGCAGACGAAAGGGTAAGTAGAAATATAAAGTATCTTCTGAGCAACACTGCTTTCTTTGTTCTTTCACAAAATCCCTTTAAAACTGACCTTCCTCAACTGTATACAATGAGGAAACAACTTTCATAAACAAAACTTTTTAAATAAAGAGCTCAATTTAAAAATCAGATGCTTTGTTTAAACATAAAGCCTTTGGAAAGAATAAGAAACACACCGTGGAGTGGCACATGAAATCAGACATGTCCTTGGCAACTAACTGGCTGTTCTTACTGGGCTCGCTGCAGCCACCTTCCTTCTAGACTGCTGCCTCACATCTGCTACGGGCTGGGGAACCAGGGGACGGCATCTGTTACAAACTGTGTGTTAAAGTAAACGAGTATAAGTAATAGCCCTGTGGCCTCTCTTCTACAGTAAAGGGCACGTCTCCAGTGCTGGGACTTTTTACAGGTACAGTTACTGTGCTAAGAGACTTCCCTTCTACCCCTAGGCTCCGTGCCACAGGGAGAGCTATCAGCCGCCTGACAGAATAAGGTGGGATATTTCTCTAGTCAGATAGTAAAACATGAAAAAACTTAATCCAAGTATAGAATGAGCACAATTTAGCTTCTGAACGCTGTTTGAAAACTCCAGGAACTACTGTAACAGACTGACAAGAGGCCCTAAATCATGTGCCACCTCATAAGGCAGGAGCCATTCTTAGAAACACTTCACTGCGTGGCTGGGACTCACTGTGCTGAAGAAGGCGCGTCGTCAGATGGTGCTGTTGCCCAAACAGAATTTTATACTCCTACAGTTCATATAACCAGTCATACTGACAAATCCTCTACATAACTGCCCTCAGAAATACCAAACTGGGCTAAAGCTCTCATTCCAAACTGAGAGACAGAGGGTACCTGGCTCACCTTCTGAACTGAGGTGCTCGAGGTCCGTCTCTGCGTGAGGAGTGAAGCGGACTTCCAAGGGGGTCACGGGGGCCTCTCTAACCCAGTCAGGGACTGCGCTGCGGCGGGCTGCACCAGCCATCCTGGAAGGACAGTGAAGAACCACCGGCTGCATCTCCGCACTGTTTCCTTGTACGACCACTGCTTCCTTCCCTCTCTTTAGCCTCTTTTCTGTTCCTTCCTCTGAAAAGCTCTTCCCCGGGCAATTTGAGCCAATTTGTTCTTCTGCCACACTCAGACTCTGATCACTTCTTGATTCTACACCCAAATCTGCTGCTATCTCCCTGGGCTGAGGGGAGTTTTGCTGGACTTTTGTTGAGTTATCACGTTTCATGTAGTTTGCTCCTGAAGTTCCATCTTCACGACATTTAGGTTTTTCCTTAGTGTGACTACAGGCTTGTGGTTTATCACACCTTGAGAGCTGTCGCTGGTCACAGTGGTCAGTCTTGTCATCAGACTGGGATGTGTTTTGGGATTTATATTGGTTATTCTGTAAATTAAAGTCCTGTAGAGGCTCAATCAAATTTTGTGGCGAGTCATACTCAGCTATGTAGGGCTTTATGTCTAGGACAGGTGTGCCATGAATCATGTCAATTCCAGAAAGGTATATAGCTCCACCTATAATGTGAAAAACACATCCTCTTAGAAATCGTAACAATGAAGAACAGTGCAAACAATTAAGAACCAACATCATCTGCTTATGCCTCACCAAGCTCACTCACAATTCTCTTACACACCAGGTTTTCTTATACCTGGTGCCAACACACCCTTTTCATTCTGCCTGGAAACCCATCCTCTTCTTCACCTGTCAAACTCCTACATGCTCTTTAGGGCTCCTCTATGAAACCTCGCCTACAGAGCCTTTCTGGCTCTTCCACACATAAGCACTCTTTCCTCTGTGTTCCACAAAGAAACCTATGTAAAAACCTCTACTACACCCCTTTTCATATGGTCTGGCAATGACCTAGTCAGTCTCTCTCCCTAGACAGTGTGGGTAGGCCCTTGAGCACTGACTCATTTTTGCATCACTGGGGCTTCTAACTCTGTTCCAGGCATAGCAGAGTCTTCAGTATATCTCTGTGGGATCAATGAGGATTTCCACTGTGGCAAATATACACGAAAGTGGCCCCCAGAATGCCCACCTCCTGGTGTTCACACCCTTGGATAATCCCCATCTTTTGAGTGTGACTTGATATCACTCCAATGACTGTGTTACATTATCTAAGACTCCTGTGCCTGCAGGCAGATTCACTCGAGATATTCTCCTGGTGGGCTTGATGAAGTAAGCAACCACCCTGAGAAAGCCCATGTGGCAAGGCACTGCAGAAGCCTTCAGGAGCTGAGGGCAGCCACCAGCCAACAACCAGCGAGCAACTGTGGCTCTCAGTTCCACAACTACAAGGAAGTGAATTCTGCCAACAACATGAGTGAGCCTGGAAGCAAATTCTTCCCCAGTTGAGCCTCCACATAAGAACTCACCTAGATCACACCTTATTTGCAGCCTGGTAAGATCCTAAGCAGAGGACTGGCTTAGCTGTTCCCATATTTCTAAACTAATTATTATGAAACTTGGTAATATTTCAAAGAGATAATAAACGTGTGTTGTTTAAACTGACTAAGTAGGGGCGTCTGGGTGGCTCAGTTGGATAAGTGTCTGCCTTTGGGCTCAGGTCATGATCCCAAGGTTCTGGGATCAAGCCCGGTATCAGGCTCCCTGCTCAGTGGGGAGTCTGCTTCTCCCACTCCTTTTGCCCCTCCCCTCCACTCGTGCTCTCTTTCTCTATCTCTCTCAAATAAATAAAATCTTTAAAGAAATTTAAAAAAAAGTGTACAGCAATTTGTTACACAGCAATGGAAATCAACACATCCATCAAGACTCAAACACTTAAACAGAACAGAGGTGACCACTGCCAAATATTAACAGGTCTTTTGTCTCACTTATACAGCTTGCATGTCCAGTGCCTGCCACTGGTGCAGATTCTACTAACTTGATTCTTGGGAAATTGGCCAAATGAGAATCAAAAAATTGCATGTGATCACATTCCATTCTGTCTCCATTTAAGAAAAACAAGACTAACAGAGGACTAATTTCTAAAACATGCTCACTACGAATGAGCCTAGAACTTTGGAATAATGACTTTGGACTTCCTAACTAACGGATATGCCCAACAATGCCTGCAGAAGGAAGAAAGCATTGGAGTATACATAAAAGTTCATGGGACTTAGATTTACACAACCACGTGGCTGGATGCTATTAGGCGTATTATCAAACATCAAAGAGCCTCAGCTTCCTCACCCATAGAAGGAGGATTGCTACCCTATCAAACCTAAACAGCCACAGAGAGATTACACACAGCAACACGCTTTATAAACTGTAAAGCACCACACAAACACTAGTAGTCACCATAACACTTACTTGTAAGAATGTCTACAGTGTTACTGCGTTTGCCTTTTACATTCTAATTTGAGCTCCCCCATGAGAATTTTAAGTTCTTCAATGCAGGGATTGTGTGTGTGTGTGTGTGTGTGTAAATTTTTATTTTTATCTATTTCTTTTGGTGACACACAATATTTTAATAATGAGAACTGCAAGTGATGACATCATAACAGGATATATTAAAACCTGAAAAAATACAGAGCGCTTCATGAATTTGTGTGTCATCCTTGTGCAAGGGCCAATTTTAGCATATGTGCTGCTGAAGCAAGCACAATGCATGGATTTTTATCTAATTTGTTTACCACTATACCCTCAGCACCTAGAACAATGCCTGGCATATATACACAGTGCTCTGATAATAAAATGTTTAGTACTATTACTCAAGCTGGTTGGCTATCACAAATTGACAAAGCTCAAGTTGGACTGGCTTCAGAAATTTCTTGGAAAACCTATCCAAGGCTGGGCTGAATACAACCCAGGGGACAGAGTTCAAGTTCTGGCAAAAAAACAAACAAAATAACTGATCTTACCTATTTAGCACTAAGTAGCCTGAAAAGTAACTTATAGCATTTGTCTCATAAGATTCCAAAAAAAAAAAAAAAAAATACTATGTAGTCCCAGAGAGGGCAGGTCCTACTCCTTCACCCACTTTACAAACCAGGAAGCTAAAGCCTAGAATGGTCTCCTGACCTCCAGTCTTCTGCCTCTCCAACAAATGTGCTTATTGTTAGTCAGAGTGATTCAAGAACGGGATGCTTTACTAACAAACAAAACAAACAAACCAAAACTCAAAGATACAGAGAACAGTTCACTGGTGGCCAGAGGGAACAGAGTACGGAGATAAATGAAATGGGTCAAAGGGATCAGGAGATACAAACTCCCAATGATACAATAAGTAAGTCTTGGGGATGTCATGTACAGCACAGTCAGGAATATTGTATCGTATATTTGAAAAGTTGTTGAGAGTAGATCTTCAAAGTTCACACCGTAAGAAAAAATATTTTAAACTATATGGTGACAAATAATATCTAGACTTATTGCAGTGATGATTTCACAATGTATATAAATATTGAACCATATTGTACACTTGACACTAATACGTCAATTATACTTCAAAAAAAAAACCACGGATGCTTCCAAAAAATGTATGGCCCAGTAACTAGGCTATATCTGAATACACAGTTAAAATGAACCTGGTATTCTACACAGGTACTTCCACAATCTGACAGGTGTTTAAATGTTATCATACTGCAATTCATAGCAGACCCTCTGCCACACGTCAGAGTTAACAGGTGTACTACAACCACAGCACATGTTCATCTCCTCAAAGTGCAAGGAAGAAATAATACACCACCACCCTACATGTTTACCATATCTACACATACAAGCAGTTATTCTCTGTTAATTCTGAAAGTGTCCAATTATTGTTGAATAATTTTGTATTTATTGTATTCTAAGTCAGAGAAAATTTGGTTACTAATTTAATTATTATTTAATAATGTAATAGTTTCTAATATATGGGATGATATAATTAAACTCTGAGCATCCTATGAGAGCTGATTTCAAAGGGTGACATTCTTTTTTGGTCATTTCTTCTTCCATGCCTGGTAATCCCCAGGGGTTAACACCACTGGTACTCCTCCGAATAACAGCCAGTTAATACTAAGTTTGTTTTATAAGACTTCTTTTAGATAAGGAAAAAAGATAAAAGTAGAAATGAAATTTGTTACCTTCTACCTTTTCCAGTTTGGCCAGGGTCAGTCCTATTGCATTGGGACGATGTGGGCTCCTTGTGGAGAAAACTCCAGTCTTTATTCCATTCAGCCTCGGAGGCTGCACTTTTGCCTTACAGCTCAAATGACCATTTTTGTGAAAAACAAACAAAATCCTATTGAAAATAAACCAAACCACCAAGTAAGGAAAGAATACTAATTAATTTATCATAATAATTTTATGGGGAAAAAAACCTTTAATCTTTAATCCCACAAGTTAAAGCTGAAAGAATGCTTTTTAACGGTACTAAAATGTAATCAGTGGGGAAAAAAATAATGCCATTCTCATTCCTTGAAGGAAGGCAGCGTCTTATCTCTATATCCTAACAAAATTACTGGTATGTTGCAGGAACTTTTACAAATATTTTTCAAGTGCCTGAATAAGCAATATTTACGAAGTAAGAGCCTGCTATTCGCCAGGCAGTCTGCTACACATTTTTATACTTATTCAACTCTCTTAACAAGCCCAGGACTTGTAATTTATCCTCCATTTTAAGAATGAGGCAATCCAGGTTCAGAAATGTTAAATAACTTCACTGGGTCTTCCTAAATAAAACAGAAAAGCAGCAAGCCACAAAGAGAAACAATAACAAATTCAAACTCATTAAATCATTAAATTTATGACTATAAAATGTAATCCCATGAGAAAATGTTTGCTACATGTACGATAGATAATGGGTTAATATCTGTGGTATATAAACTGTTCCTACAAATCACAAAGGGGAACTCATTATAAGAAATTAAGCAAAGACGGGGCGCCTGGGTGGTTCAGTTGTTGGGCATCTACCTTCGGTTCAGGTTATGATCCCAGAGTCCTGGGATTGAGTCCCACATTGGGCTCCCTGCTCGGTGGAGAGCCTGCTTCTCCTTCTCCCACTCCCCCTGCTTGTGTTCCTTCTCTCGCTATGTCACTCTCTGTCAAATAAATAAATAAAATCTTTAAAAAAGAAAAAAAGAAAGAAAAAAGAAAAAGGGGCGCCTGGGTGGATCAGTGGGTTAAGCCGTCTGTCTTGAGCTCAGGTCATGATCTCAGGGTGGTGAGATCAGTCCCTGTTTAGGATTCTCTCCCTCTGCCCCTCTACCCATGCGTGTGCATGCTCACTCTCTCTCTCAAATAATAAACAAAATCTTTAAAAAAATATCTTGGTTTTGGGGTGCCTGGGTAGCTCAGTGGGTTGGGCCTCTGCCTTCGGCTCAGGTCATGATCTCAGGATCCTGAGATCGAGCCCCGCATCGGGCTCTCTGCTCAGCGGGGAACCTGCTTCCCCCTCTCTCTCTGCCTGCCTCTCTGCCTACTTGTGATCTCTCTCTCTCTCTGTGTCAAGTAAATAAATAAAATCTTTGAAAAAAAAAAAAATCTTGTTTTTCCCTGTCTGACAAAATGCAGAAAAACTGGAACATAGACAGTGTTAGCAAGAATGTAAGGAAAAGGTCATTTTCATACACTTACAATACACAAATTAAGCTTTTTAGAGCAGTTTGGCAGTAGCCCTCCAAAATTATAAATATGCACACCCTCTAGTTCAATATAACCATTTCTGATACTTATGTGTGAAAATGTACATGTGCCAAGATCTGTGTCTAAGAAGGTTTGCTACAGCATTACTATAATAGTAAAATAACTATCCATTAACAAAAGAGTGGTCAAATCATGTCATATCTATATTTTGCAATAAGAGACAGCCATTAAAGCAAAAAAAATCTGTATGCATTGTCATGATATATACTGTTAAATGAAGGAAACATATTACATTGTTTAAAACAAACACCTACCCCGGTGTGTATGTTTATGCTTCTGTATCTATTAAAAAAGAAAAAAAAAAAAAAAAAAAGAAAAGGCCTGGTAGCACGTAACCAAGCTATTAACGATAAAAATCTCTGAAGACTGCTGGGGCTAAGGATGAGAGAGAAGACAAATAGGAAGGATACAAAAAATCTCTTTATATAGATCTGGACCCATTTTTTTTTAATATCAGCAATGTTCTTAATTTAATTAATTTAACCAAGATCATACAAACTAGGTCAGACACATGTTGCTTTTACTCTACCCACATCTCCAAATTAACAAAAACATAAGCTATCTCAGAATAAATACTTCATTTTAGGTCTTCACCCGTAAAATTAGACCAAGTCATACTGGTGATGCTGGAGTGGGTAAGAATGGATAGAGACAGAATTCCAAGTGACAGTAACACTAGTATAACACAGGTGCTAATATAAGTAACACTTCATTTAGAGTATCCAGATTTCTAAAGTCTCTTTTGTCTCTTAGGAAGAACAAACTTAATTGTTAATGGTCTAGAGCAGAGTCTGCAAACTTTTCCTATAAAGGGTCATACACTAAGTATTTGAGTTTACATGCCACAAGTCTGTTGTAACCATTCAACTCTGCCACTGTACCACAAAAGCAGCCACACACAATATATAAATGAATGGGAATGGCTGTGTTCCCATAAACTTATTTACAAAGATGGGGAAAAAACAAAGGTGGAGGGGTAGATGGATTTGGTCCACGGCCTGTAGCTTGCTGACCCCTAGTCCAGAGGATAGAATAATGACTCACAGGCAGAATCACGAAGGTCCATAGAGTATATCTCAACAGAAGGCATTCATCACAATCAGGACCAACTGCAAATGGAACGAGTCCCCTCAGTGGATCCCAAGCTTCCGTGAGAATGCCCAAGTTATGCCTACAGTCACGTGTGTGAATATGCAACAGGAATTCCATGCAACAGCTAAGTGTGGTCTGGAGGGCAGACTCTAAGGTTGCCTTCGATGGGAGGACTTTACTCAAGAGCAGGTACTGACCCAAAGACCCACTTCTAACCATAAAACAACTTACCAAACATGAGAAAACTGTTCTAAGCCCATCAAGGAATGTTCAGGATTATTAAAGATGCTCTTTCTAATTCTCAAACAAGCCCGTGAATGGCTACAAATAGACGGCTGCCTTGGAGTACCATTCTTGGCCGAGAAACAGGATTCCAAGTAGCCAATTGGCTCAGTTAAAAGATTCCCTACAGAAGAAAAGTAGGTAAGAAATCATTAGTCAAAATGTCAAATAGAGATGTAGGAAAACATGTTTTCTTTAATGACTGATTTCATAATTTTAGCATCTAACCAAGTGTTATGCAACTATTAAAAATGATTCATATGTCATGAATACATATAAATAAATATATCATCACCACACACATATTATTATATCCCTTTTGACAGCCAGAGAGAGTAGAGGTCTAAGAAAGACAGGGGGCTCGAGGCACCTGGGTGGCTCAGTGGACTAAGCCTCTACCTTCTGTTTGTCAAATAAATAAATAAAATCTTTTTTTTTAATCTTTTTTTTTAAGATTTTATTTATTTATTTGACAGAGAGAGATCACAAGTAGACAGAGAAGCAGGCAGAGAGAGAGAGGGAAGCAGGCTCCCCGCTGAGCAGAGAACCCGATGCGGGACTCCATCCCAGGACCCTGAGATCACGACCTGAGCCGAAGGCAGAGGCTTAACCCACTGAGCCACCCAGGAACCTAAAAAAAAAAAAATCTAAAAAAAAAAAAAAAAAAAAAGGAAAGAAAAGAAAAGAAAGACGAGGAATTCTCAGAAGTTCTACTATGACCATAACTCAAATTCAATGTTACCATTACTAAGGTATGTGACTTTGGTCAGAGCTAAAAGAGTATTTAGGGGCACCTGGGTGGCTCAGCGGGTTAAGCCTCTGCCTTCAGCTCAGGTCATGGTCTCAGGGTCCTGGGATCGAGCCCTGTATTGGGCTCTCTGCTCAGCAGGCAGCCTGCTTCCCCCTCTCTCTCTGCCTCCTCTCTGCCTACTTGTGACCTCTCTCCATGTGTCAAATAAATAAATAAAAATCAAAGAGCATTTAAAATAGAGGGAATTGGGGCACCTGGGTGACTCAGTCAGTTAAACATCTCAACTCTTGCTTTCTGCTCAGGTCATGATCTCAGGGTTGTGAGATCAAGCTGCAACTTGGGCTCTGTGCCAAGCATGGAGTCTTCTTCACATTCTCTCCCTCTCCCTCTCCCTCCCCCTCCCCCACCCCTTCCTCGGCTCACACTTGTGTGCACACTCTCTCTAAAGAATAAATGAATTCTTTTTTTGTTTTTAAAGGTTTTATTTATTTGACAGAGAGAAACACAGCAAGAAAGGGATCACAAGAAGGGGGAGTTGGAAAGGGAGAAGCAGGCTTCCCGCTGAGCAGACAGCCCAATGTGGGGCTGGATCCCAGCACCCTGGAATCACGACCTGAGCCAAAGGCAGACCCTTAACAACTGAGCCACTCACGCACCCCAAGAATAAATGAATTCTTAAAAAAAATTTTTTTTAAATAAAATAGAGGGAATAACATGCAGAAAGTTAAATGACAAGTGTTACAGCACATGCAGAGAACAAGTTATTTTGATTGGCTGGAATGTGAAAGATAAGGCAAAGAATAACAAAAGATAAGGAGACAGATTGTATACAGACATCCTCATGATTTTCACAAGCTTGCGTGTAAGTCACTGTGTGTTTGTGAAAGACCTACCTCAGTACCTGTTTTTGTTAATCAAAAGAAATCCAAAGAGAATGTTTGATTTTACCAAAAAAACAAACAAACAAACAAACAAACAAAAAAAGGCTAAAATGGAAAGCGCTCAGCATCTGTTTTGCAGCAAGCTGTTATAGATGCAGGATGCACCCCAAGCAGTGAGATCAGCCCCACCCAGGTCCTTCCCCAGGAACTATACTCAGCATCTGAGCATCAAGCCACCACAGCTTTGAACTGTGTCTGTGAGCATCTGTGCTTTATCTTGATTTATTTTGTGCATCAACTAACAATATGTGTCCTGAAGTAACAGAAAAGCCTAAGAGAGGTAATTTTTGGGGCCTGGGAACATTCAACAATTTTTCCACATAAATTAATGGTAATTGCTTCTTCACATTATGCCGTTTCAGGTCACGAAAAATTTCACAGGAATGATCTACTTTCAGATAGTTGGGGGGAACATGTTCCAAATAAGCATACATTCAACTAAAAAGAACCGAACAGGGGTGCCTGGGTGGTTCAGTCAGTTAAGCATTTGCCTTCAGCTCAGGTCAGGATCCCTGGGATCAAGCCCAGCTTCAGGCCCCCTGCTTAACGGGAAGCTTGCTTCTTTTCCCTCTGTCTGCTGCTCCCCCTGCTTATACTCTCTCTCTGTCAAGTAAATAAATAAAAATCTTAAAAAAAAAAAAAAAGGAACAGAATATATGAAACAAAGTAGTTTAAGAAATAAAGGGAGTACATGGGATCATAATCATACTACTAAAATATCTACAGACAGAACAGATTTCAGGTTTGGCTTGGTCTAGTAGCTCTGTGCCCCTAGAATGTAAGCTCCATGTGGCAGGAGTTTTTCTACCTTGTTCACTGCTACGTTCACGGCCTAGTACATTGCGTGCAAGGGGGTAGGTACTCAAAAAATTCATGTTACATGGCAAAAAAAAGGATTGTTTAAGTCTAAACTGGTTAAAATGGAAAGTGAGAGGCACCTGGGTGGCTCAGTTGGTTGGGCCTCTGCCTTCAGCTCAGGTCATGATCTCAGGGTCCTGGGATCGAGCCCCACATCGGGCTCTCTGCTCGGCGGGAAGCCTGCTTTCCCCTCTCTCTCTGTCTGCCTCTCTGCCTACTTATGATCTCTCTGTCAAATAAATAAATAAAATCTTAAAAAAAAAGAAAAAAAAAGTGGGCACCTAGGTGGCTCAGTTGGTTAAGTGACTGCCTTCAGCTCAGGTCATGATCCTGGAGTCCAGGGATCAAGTCCCACAGGGATCAAGTCCCATATTGGGCTCCCTGCTCAGCAGGGAGTCTGCTTCTTCCCCTGACCCTCTCCCCTCTCATGCTCTCTTTCTCAAGTAAATAAACAAAATCTTTTTTTTTTTAAAGATTTTATTTATTTATTTGACAGAGAGAGATCACAAGTAGACAAAGAGGCAGGCAGAGAGGGAGAGAGGGAAGCAGGCTCCCCGCCGAGCAAAGAGCCCGATGCGGGACTCGATCCCAGGACCCTGAGATCATGACCTGAGCCGAAGGCAGCGGCCCAACCCACTGAGCCACCCAGGCGCCCCTAAATAAATAAAATCTTAAAAAAAAAAAAAAAAGGAAAGTGAAAAATTGAAAGAATATAATGTCATTTAAGAACGTTTGTTTATACATTTACCTATTTAAATATGTACCTGTATATGTTTAGAAAGCTGTCTGAAAGGGTATTTCACCAAAATGTTAACATTTTGGTAAAATGGACATGGTAATATGGTAAAAATGGATAGTGAGATTTCTGGACTATTTTTATACTTTGTAATTTGTATAATATTCAAAAATTTTTAAATCATCAGAAATCCTCTTCTTTTTTCTTCCTAAGTAGTAACTCCTTTCAAAAGACAAGAACTTGGCAAAGCAGCACCAATATAGGTTTCAAGTCCAAGGTATCCACAACTAGCATTTTGAATTTACAAATAACTTTTTTTCCACATTTCATGAAAAATTTACTAACTTCTTTTAAGAGATGACATACAGACACTCTAGACCATCCTTTTATTTTCAGCTTCCATTAATTAAATCTATCTACCAGCACAAGTGGTAAGATTATAGGCCTGGTGTTGTCCCTCACAGTACCTTTCATTACTTTTCACCTATAAAAACTGTATTATTGGCTACATATAAAATATTACATGTATTAAATGTGTAACAGAGCATAATACTATGAAATCCTGTGTACCCACCCACCCAAAGAACTAGAGCTTTACCAACAAAACGTATCTTTTTATGTTGCTTCTCTCCTATGGCAACCCATCCTTTCTCCCTGAGATAAACAGGTGCCTGAATGGGATCTTTATTACTCACTACCTTTAATGTAATTTTATCACATGCATATGCATGCCTAGAAAATTTATTTTGTTTTGAATTCCATAAAAACTGGGATTGAACTGCATGTTATCTTCTCAGACTTGCTTTTTCTCTCATTATTACAATTCTAAGACCCTTCCATACTGTGTATGCTTTTGATGACTTTAAAATATTTTTCCAAATATGCTTACAGGCATTCTTTTGTTTATCCTCATCCATGTTTCTGTGGAATAAAGATAGTAAACAATTTAGAGATGAAGAAACTAAGGCCAAACAATTCTCTGGTCTTCATTAAAACGCCATAAAGAAAAATGGCCAAAAAAAGACCCCTCACCTAGTAAGATGGGATCCCTGTGTCTTGTTTTCATTTGTTTAGCAAACATTCCAATATTCTACAATTGCCAGACATTGAGCTAAGCTTGGGTAAAAGAAACAAGAACTCTTATCACAGCAGAATAAACAGTTGGTTGGGGAGAACCTCACAATATGTTTCAACATCATGGGAAAAATATGGAAAGCACCTAGTGCCACGCAAAGTGCTCAGCAAAACGTAGTTTTCCAAGCTCTTACTTAGGCATTTCTCTCATTTTAACAATACTGCAATTGTACTAACTGTGTAATACGAGAAAAGCCAACAAGTTATTAATGCAGAGTTTTTGTACTCAAAGTTTATCTGTATGTCTTACTGCTGACAGAAAGTTTAGGTCCTTATGACCCTCCTGCCCAGACCGTAAAATTACCCTTGTTATAATTCACGTCCCCAGCACAGTTCCCTCCCCTTCTTAAAATACACTACACCAGTACTCCAGACTCTGAGTTCCTTAATTTTATGCTACCTCTAACTAAATTTTTCACTTTTCTGTTAACAGACATTGTATTTCTTAACCTGGTATTCAAGGTTCTCTACAATCTGAATACAATCAACCTCCTTGCTCCATCCAGTATTTCAAATTTATAACTCCCCAGTCTGGTGTTATGCAGACCTCTAAGCCCTGCTCCTTCCTGCCTACGAAAATATTAGGCCTGTAATCTGGCACTGTGCAACAATTTTTTTTTAAATGAGCACAACCTTCTACAAGTAACAGTCCTTTTAGTAAATTCAATCTAAGTTAAACTTTTATAACATGCACAAACATTTCAGTCTTAAGAATTTTCTTCACAATGAAAACTGGCAGTAACCTAAAAGCCCAACAATAAGGAATTGGTTAATTAGAACACATCTCTAAAGCAAAGTACTCTGCAATCTCTTAAAGCTATTAATGGCCAACCATTTATATGAAATTTAAGTTTTAGAAAGAAGTTATAAGACAGTGGGGTCACATAATTCATTTTCTAGTGTGCATGCGCAGAAACAAGTATGTAAGGTAGGCACCAAGATATTAACAGCGGTTTTCTCTGGGTGATGGCAGACTTTTTCTTCCATTTGCGTCTTCTAATTTCTAATGTTAATATTCGGCTCTATATAATGAGGTGAAAATAAACTCAAGCCCAACTTTCCGGGCCCAGTATAAAAAGATTTCCTGTCTCTCCTCTCCGCCCCACATCTCCCGTCTCACTTCCAACAGCACAGGATGCCTGTCTCGGGGGTATTTATTAATTCCTAACCCGCGTAACACCAGCGTTCACATCCCATCTCTCCTACGTGAGCAAAAACTCTGTGAGAAAGGCTGTTACACTGCACGTGTCTGTTCCAGCCACGGTGCCAAGCCCAACCCAACCGCGCTACCAGGAACGGAACAGATGACATCATGCCGCTCGCCTCAGCAAAATCACGTGGTCGCTAGTGCACGTGACCCGTGGCTTCAAGAACCGCAACGACCCACTTGTGTTCAAGTTGTCGCATTTTACATCCCGTTCCGAAATCAGGTCTGCGCCTGCGCCCAGGCCTCTTTTGGGTGCGGAGCCGCTGGTCTCTCAGAAGTTACCTGTTTCCAGAGCCGGCTTCACGCACCCACACCCGGTCGCTGTGGCCTGAGGCCCCGGCTCTTCCAACACGCGCATGGCCACTGCTCACTGAGGTGTCGACTCGCCGCGACAGGCCTTCCGCTTCCGGTCTCTGAGCTGGGTGCCTGCGCAGTAGCCGCCCTGACGGGATGGTGCGAGCCCAGCGCCTGGCGCATACGCAGGTAGTGGGACGCGCTCTAGGTGGGCGCTGCCTGTGGCACTGGTGGGATTTCGATTTCCATTTCCCGGCTTCGGTTTCTCTGCTGGACCTGATTCTGATCCTTCGCGCTGACCCGCTGCGATTCCCTTCCAGTCAGCGACTCCGAATTCCCGCGCCTGTGAAGGGGGACACTGCGATGAAGATTTACGCACTAAGATGTCTCTCTCAAACATTGATATAAACAATCTACGTGACCAATGAATGACACTGATTTTTAAAGACAAAGGATGTGTTTATGCAGTTAACCACTTAGCATAACGATGGGATGTTAGGAAATTAGAAAAAAATTTTTTTAAGAAGATCCTGTAGCTCATGGGTTCCCACAAGGCATTTTTTTTTAAAAGATTTTATTTATTTATTTGACCCACAGATAGAGAGAGAGAGAGATCACAAGTAGGCAGAGGCAGGCAGACGGCAGCCCCGCTGAGCGGAGAGCACGACTGGAGGGCGCAATACCGGGACCCTGGGATCATGACCTGAGGGAAAGGCAGAGGCTTAACCCACTGAGCCACGCAGGCGCGCTGGGAAATTTGAAATTCTTGAGTGGTGGGAATACACATGATTATACTTCTGTATACTCCCAACTTTTCCGCAATAAAAACGATGTTTTGTCAGCAAGGAGCCCTAACTAAACCTTATTTCACGTCTAATGGATGGTGAGCGTCACACTGGAGTAGGAGTTAAGGAGTCCGGACTTTTCTGTGCTCCATACCCTATGGGAACTGAAGCAAGAATGAAATTCAGAGTCAATATGCTATGTACATGGGAGAGATTGTGATCGTTTTTTCTGGGCAAGCTGTGAAAGATTGAGAGCCAACAAGAATCCTCATTTCATCCCATGAGAAGACCAGTTATCCTTGCAGCGATACTATCCTTTCACCTACTTATTTGTAAAGTTATCTCTCCCCTATATCAAGTTTCTCTGTACATAAAATTCTGTTTCTGGGTTTTTTATCCTGTTTAGGGTCGGGGAACATAGGGTTTGCAATATAAAATATCCAGAAGCATGCAAGTCCACAGATTTTAAAAGTTCAACCATGAAAATCTGTTGCTAAACCTTCTCATTTCTCATGGCGTTATATAAGATCACTAGTAGAAAATAACCGGCAACACCCAAAGATTTAAGGAGACGGTTGTGTAAAACACACACTTTGGGGCACCTACGTGTCTCAGTCAGTTAAGCATCTGCCTGCGGCTCAGGTCATGATCCCAGGGTCTTGGGATCTAGTCCGGTGTAAGGGTTCTGCACTCAGCGGGAAGCCTGCTTCTCCCTCTCCTCCCTGTTCCTGCTCTATCTCTGTCCCTCTCTCCAGTAAATAAAATCTTAAGAAAATAATAAAAATAAAACACTTTAAAATTGATCAACTTCATATATGAGTTCTATGTCCATGAAAATTTGGAAAAAAATACTGTTAATCTGTTTCCAGGAGGAATGCCATTAATATGTGCACTTGGAGAAACAAGTTTGAAAACACTTGAGCTATACACACTTTATAAAACTGGGGCTGTAATAGCTGTGTTTGCCACTAGATGGTGGTATTAAAAGTGATGTCTCGCTTAATTTGTTGACAGACGAGTGTGTGAAAAGAGAGGTATTTGCCCTCTTGACACTAGATATCATTATCTAAAGATAATCACGAAAAATAATGCATTACCGAGTGTGACAAGTACTGCGATGCAAAGCAGATTTGGAGACACTGATGAAGTAGCTTGCTACATCCAAATTTCAAAGGTAAATTTTCTTTGTATGGAAAACAGGAACTTAAATATAAAGCAACTTTATTATGCGATCTGAGGCTTTTTATTACCCTTTCTAGAGTTATAGCTGATTATTTATAGTTTATAATGCAACTGTTCTTTGGAGGTGAGACCTAGGAATCTGTCTTTTAAAAGCCTAAATTATTCTAATACAGGTGATCATCAGCCTACACTTGGAGAGACACCACTTCTTATAATGGTTCTTAACCTTCCATTTGGATGAAGGATCCCTTTGAAAAGCAATTAAAGCTTTGGGATTTTTAAGAACCACTATTGTACCTACCATGAGAGGAAAGTAGCACAAAGTAGGGGTAGATGTTTACAAAACCTTTGATTCTGTGACCTCAAGGTTCAAAGCCAAGGAAGAAAACTGGGAAATGTTTAGATGCACACTGGTGTTTGAATGAGAATAGTGAGAAAGCAGAGTTTGTGTGTATACAGGGAGCAAGGTAAGAGGACGAGCAGAAAGGATCCTAAGAGGTAAAAAGAGAAGATCCCTCTCCTTCTAATGTACTATAGTCCTCATTCCATCTACTTCCCCATCTCTTTCACTGTATGCCCCTGTGAATTGTACCTATGCAAGTATCTTATGGTTCATTTTAATGCAACTCTCTTAGAACATGAAACTTCCATTTAGTCTTTTTCCCCTAATGTTAACCCACTCTGGCAGGTGGATTGAGACAAAATTTCTTAAGATTAGACCTAGTGTGAAAAGCACTGAAGAAGTTAGATGTGACTTTAGGTGAGTACCCAGCCTCTCTGAGGCTATTCCCTCATCTATAAAACTGGAACTATAATCATTGCCCCGCCCATTTCGCACTCATATGCAAATAAAAAAGTGTTTATGAAAACAAATTCTGAAATGTCATCCAGATGTAAATGACTATTATACGGTTATGCTGCCCTCAATATGTCACTGGAGTAATATGATGGGGTGTGAGTAAATCCCTATACGATGAACATATCTCGAGAAGAAAAAAATGTAATGTTCATGGGGGAGTGTGTGCAAACAGAAGGGAAACAGCATTGTGACCCGCCCACTTTATCAGTGGCCATTAACTGTAGCTGCACTTTAGGATCACCATGAGAGCTTTTCTACCCTAAATGCAATGTTGTATCCCATTTTGGATCCTGAAGCCAGTAAAAGGGCATTAGTAGAAAAACTAATGAAATCCAGATAATGGTAACATCAGTGTCTTAATTTCTTAAGGTTTGATGAATGGACCATGGTTACAGAGCTTGTTAACATTAGGATAAACTGGTGAGAGGTATACAGGAACTTCTGTACTATCATGTTTTCTATAATTTTTCTTTTAAAGATTTTATTCATTTATTTGACAGAGATCACAAGTAGGCAGAGAGGCAGGCAGAGAGAGGGGGCGGGGGAAACAGGCTCCCTGCTGAGCAGAGAACCCGATGTAGGACTCGATCCCAGGACCCTGAAATCATTACCTGAGCTGAAGGCAGAGGCTTAACCCACTGAGCAACCCAGGCACCCCGAGTTTTCTGTAATTTCTAAAATTATTTCTCAAACAATATTTAAAACAAAAAAACTAAAAATTAATGTATCTATACCTGGATGCCATCCTAGACAGGTAAATCAGAATCCCTGGGGAGGTGTCTGGACAGCTGTAATTTTGAAATCTTCTCCAGTGGTTCTAATGGACCCTGAGGGTTGAGCAGCTCTTTCTACACCGTGATGCTTATGAGACTGGGATTCTGTCTTGTTCTTAGCTGTCTAGCTAGTACTTAGCACAGTGCCTCTGTACCTATATGGAGAGCTTATACAATCGTGTCCTTGCTGAACTAAACCCTTACCAGCAAAAATCCCCTTCCTTTGAGTCTTCTGTAATAACAGACGGAAAACTGCAAACAGCACCCCCGCCAAAATACTGGGGGGTTCAGATATCTTCCCACACAAAATAATTCGTATTCATGCCCCCAGTCTCTTGTAATTTTCAGCTAACCCTGACCATTCTAAGATAGAAAGTCTTAAAATACTAAAACTGCATTGTTCAAAAGTCTTACTTCATTCCACATTACCTAACACATACTTCTTAGGTGTGCAAAATTCCGTCCACTCTGATATGAGACTTTCAGCCTATTAGCCTGCTGTTCCACACGGACCATGCGTTAACTGTAGTTTGTATGCAGTTCCCTTGAATATATGCTGAATTCATCCTTCTCTGTGTCACATACAGTGAGGCCACAATCCTCACCTACAGTACAAATCTTTTCCGTCTTTCAAGATTCCTTGAAGATGTGATTTTTTTCAGGTCGCTCCAGCAAAAAAAAAAAAAAAAAAAAAGTGAGTGTTTCCTCTATTGTGTCTACTCTTCAAACGACACTAGCATTACTGTTATTTGTGTTCTGTTTTATTCCCCCCACGAGACGAGATTAAACCCCTGGAGGGTAAGGACCATGTGTTATAGGTGTTCTAATCCTCGTGGTGCTTATCAGGATGCTGTCCAAACGGTGAAACATGTAATAAAGATTTAATGTACATTTTGCACAAATACAATATTTAAAAAGGAAAAAAAATCAAAATTCAAACACTCCAGGAAACTGCGTTGATCACTCATCCCCTCAAAATATCTTGGAAGGAGTCCCAGAATAATTGTTAAAATTAACTTAAAAAGACTACCAAAGTCTGAATAAAATGTTGATGATATTGTTACATGGATAAGTGAACAAAGTTTACAAGAAAACTATTACTCCCCCAGATTTTAAGTTTTCAAACAATACTTTCTCTACTTTTAAGAATTAACCAAGAAAAAAATAAATAAAATATAAAAGAATTAAAGGTTCTTGATGGGTGATCAATTATTCAGCCATTCCTTTCCCGTTTCTGTCTCTCCCCCACCACTATCCTCACCCCAATATGCATATATGTATATATACACACACACACGTGCACACACGCACACACACACACTAGCAGGATATCATCTATGTAACAGAGCCTAAAAAAACACCTTCATTCTCTCAGAGTCTATACATGAAAAAAAGAAAACAATGTTAAAATATTAATGAGTATTGTAGAGATCTACAGTGTTTTGAAAAAATCACACACGTAATATATTAAGATGTGTATTTTGTTGGACAACTATTGATGGTTGAGCATTGTTAAAACAAAACATAACTAAAGACGTCATTTTCTGGATGAATTTCTTGAGGAACATTTGCAATTGCTGGTATCTCTGGTTCTTCTGCTTCGGGTTTTTCTCTCATTTCTGTAAAATAAAATATGAAAATAGGTTCAATAAATGGTATTGAAACAATTAAGTATCTCGGGGAAAGAAACTCTGCCTCACACCTTGCACAAAAGCAAATTTCAAATAAATAAAAGTTATAAATATTAAAATACCATAAGTTTTGTAGAAACAATAAAATGTTTTTTATACTCTTAGTGTTAGAAAGGCCTTTCTAAGCAGAATAGAGACCAGAAAACATAAAGGAAAAGAATGACTGGTTTGAAAAACTAAATATTAAAATCATGACAGTTTTGAATAACTAAAAATTAAAATCTTATCATGTAGATGACAAAAACCACTATAAATAAAGTTAAACCAAAAACAACAGGGAAAATATTTATAACTTATATGTAGGTGAAAGCTTAATAACTATGATATAAGGATCTTTAAAATCAATCCAAAAGATCAAATTTAAAATAGAACAGGAATTCAAACAGGCAATTCTCAAAAGAAAAAAATTCAAATTTATAATAGTCATGAAATCCAAATTCATGATAATATTAATGCCTAGTAGCAGTAGTCATCATTTAAAAAGTAGAAATTAAAACAATTGGGTTTTTTAGTTTTATTTTTTTAAGCCTAACACATAGGAAAAGGTAGGGTTTTTTTTTAAGATTTATTTATTTATTTTAGAGAAGTGGGGGCAAAAGCAGGGGAAGCGGCAGAGGGAAAGGGAGAGAGAGAATCCTCAAGCAGGCTCCCTGCTGAGTGCAGAACCTGACACGGGTTTCAATCCCAGGACCCTGACATCATGACCTGAGCCAAAATCAAAAGTCAGACATTCAACAAACTGAGGCACCCAAACCGAGGCAGTTTTTTAAAGGTAGTAATATGCAATATGGGCAAGGACCTAGTGGAAAGGCATATAAACACTTGGTTTGTGTGGATTGCTACAATATTTTGGGATGCTGGTCTGACAGAATGTATCCAAACATTAAATGTGGGTACGTTTTGGCCCAGCACTTCAATTTCTAGAGATTTATCCAAAGAACATAATTGGACAGACAAGCTTCCTGTGCCTCAGTTTCCTAATCTATGAAATGGGGATAATATTGTTTTTCTGTTAGGGCTTTAACATTGAATAAAATAATTCACCCAAAAGGTGTAATAGTTTCTGGCACATAGAAAGTGCCCCATAAATGTTACTTCCAATGATGTCCATCGAACGCTGTTTTAACAGTAAAACTTGGCAGTAATGTAAGTGTTCGTCATTTCAGGGATTGGCTGAATAAACTATTGCACATGGAATACCATAGAACTGCTACAAAAGATTTCATATCAAGATGGCCATGATATATATTGTATGTGAAAAAACGCAGGTTACAGAATGTATTCTGCTATCTCATTTGTTTGTTTTTTTAAGATTTTATTTATTTATGTATTTGATAGAGAGAGATCACAAGTAGGCAGAGAGGCAGGCGGGTGTGGGGGGGAGGAACAGGCTCCCTGCTGAGCAGAGAGCCCAATGCAGGGCTTGATCCCAGGACCCTAGGTATCATGACCTGAGCCGAAGGCAGAGGCCTTAACCCACCAAGCCACCCAGGCCCCCCTACTATCTCATTTGTTAAAATGAAGGAAAACCACCTTCAGGATGAGGATCAAAGATAGGAAATGGTGTTAGAGTGGACTTACTCTACATTCACTTACATATTGCCCTCCTTTACCATGATGAACATTCATAATTCATTATTATGAACATTTTCTACTCAGTAAAAAAGGTAGACACTTCCACTCGTTTGGCCAGACAAAACCCCCAAAAAAGAAATCACGAATTAATTGCCCACATTAACCTTGGCAAGAATGAACCTTCTAGAACAGAGCCCTTTGTGGATGAGAGCTGCTTCTCCAGCAGGGGCTCCTGTCAGCACAGGCCCATGCTTCATGCATCTGCTTTTTACTCTAATTTTTCCTTTTCTTTACTCCAATTTTTTCAAGGTATTTCTTTAAAACCTGTGGGAACCCAACTAACCCCATGCTTTTGTTGCATTCATCTTTTAGGAAAGAGAATAAATAAGCTACCAGAGGGATTTCTTTAGGAAACAATCACCTGGACAGAACTCTAGTCTCGTAGACTCAGCCCTTTGCTAACACTGTCTACGGTATTGTATGAAAAGTAAGTCAAACAGAAGAAAGGTCACATTATTTAAAAAGTGTTATGCTTAGGAGAAAGCTTTTCAGGAATAAGCATTGAAATAGAAAGGGGTTTTTGGCAAACTTGATAAATCCTACAAAAACCCCAGTAACAGGATCATATTTTCTCTTTATAATTCCCTCATATCTTGTACCCTGAGAATTTACTTGCTTTAAGTTTGCTGGGAAATTTTTTTTCTCAAGAAAAACTGTATTCCTGAAGTTTTCCTATTAATTTAGACTTGACTGTTCTTTAAAATATTTTGTATATTATTCATCTTATATTGGGTTCATTTCACTTTACTGGCTAAAGCTTCCCAGGTATATCAAACACCTACTATAAACAATTATATTTTCTTTTTTTATTATTAAAAGATTTTATTTATTTATTTGAGAGAGAGAGAGAGTGAGAAATCATAAGAGTGGAGAAAGTCAGAGGGAGAAGCAGACTCCCCACGGAACTGGGAGCCCCATGTGGGACTTGATCCCGGGACTCCAGGGTCATGACCTGATCCGAAGGCAGTCGCTTAACCAACTGAGCCATCAGGCGCCCCACACTTATATTTTCAAAGATTTTCTTTTAATTCTTTGTAAATGTGCCAAACAGACATTGGTTGGATGAAAAACATTTTTTACTCGAAACTAGCTAATGACATTAATGGTATCCCTTGCAATAATGGGAGATACCCTAAGATTGTTAAGGCAGGCTATAAAATCACCACTCCTAGGGAGACGTACCTATGTTGGTGCTCTAATTATAAAGGGGGAACCCCATTAAGTGGCAGTGTCACTGACTTATCCCAATAAAACACCCTACCTCGAGGAAAAGTATAAACATCCTTAGCGTCCTCCTGGTGTGCTTTAGGATCCTGGCCTTGGGGCCCACCTGTTTCTTGATATGGCTCTGGAAAGCATTCTTTGGGCAGATCCTTATTTTTATATGCCTTAGTAGAAAGATCTTCAGGCCCAGGTGTTTCTTGGTATATTTCAGGTGAGCCTTCCTCAGGCGCAGGTGTTTCTTGGTGTATTTCAGGTGGATATTCCTCAAGAGCAGGCACTTCTTGGGTTGTGTTATGAGAGAATGCTTTAGGCACAGCAATTTCTTTATATGTTTCATGAGAGAAGTGTTCAGGTTCAACTGTTTCTTGGTGTGTCTTTGTAGAAAGGTCTTTAGGCACAGCTATTTCTTGTGTCTTAGGAAAGAAGCTTTCAATCTCAGCCATTCCTTGTTCTGGTTCAGAATTGTATTCCTCAGGTTCAGCTCTCTTTTGGTATATCTCAAGAGCATACCCTTTGGGCATATCTGGTTTGGGGAATGCTTCAAGAGAGCATGCTTCCAGGTCAGCTATGTCTTCAGATGTTTTAGAAGGAAGGACTTTGACTATAGCTGTTTCTTGGCACATTGCAGAGGAGAGGGCTTTAGGGCCAGCTGTATCAGGGCACATTCTGGAAGGATGGTTTGGAAATACCGCTGTTTCCTGGCACATTGTAGAAGTAAAATCTTCAGGTTCAGCTGTATCAGGGCACATTATGGAAGAAGGGCCTTGAATCACGGCCATTTCTTGGCACGTTGTAGGAGAGAGGTCTTCAGGTTCAGCTGTATCAGGGCACATTATGGAAGAATGGCCTTGAATCATGGCCATTTCTTGGTACATTGTAGGAGAGAGGGCTTCAGGTTCAGCCACATCTTGGCATGTTTCAGAAGGGTGGTTTTGTACAACTGTTTCTTGTAACTCAGAAGAATGATCCTGATGTATGTTTTCTTGATCCACTGCAGAAAATTGTGTCTCAGGCATAACTTTCTTGGGAGAGGCTAGCAGAGACAGCACTTCAGTTATACTCTTAGGTGGTTCAGTTTCTTTCTCCATAGGTGCCAGTGCTTTCTCCATCGTGTCTTTTTTAAATTGTGACTGAGGTTCCTCCTTCAGTTCCGTACTTTGTCGTCTCTTTCTGCCTCTTTTGTTTCCTTTTCCTGTCCTTGGCCGCTTGCATCTTTTCTCTCTGGGGATGATAAGAATTAGTGTCAGGAATGGGATTACAGAATTGGAAGAAATCCTTAGTGATAACAGTCCCAGGCCTCCCGCGTCCTACTGTGTTGCATGATCATGAACAAATACTTAATCTCTCTAGAACTCAACCTTCTTGTTTGTAAAATGAAGGAGAAGTGCTAGATGTTCTCAGTTGGCAAGAGAAGAAATGTCCCTTGGGGAATTTTTGTCTCTGACACCTGGCTCACACAGAATCTTCCTGGTGAGTGTAGAGTGTGTGTGTGTGTTTGAAACCATATACTTAAAGATTGGTCATGGAAAGTGTATTACTCATGTTGTACAGGAATAGACTGGCATGATGGTTTACGCAGTAGTCTCTTTGGGTCGAGTCTATGTGAGTTAGTCCCACTATGCCCTGCGCAAATGGATACAACTGTGTTTCTAGATCTGCAATCTAGGCACAGCTCCTTGCCTGTGCAGCCCGCAGACAGAAGATATATGTATAATTGCTTATCTAACTCAGCGTCTTGTGTACAAAATGTAAATCACTGTGATACATGTCAAATGAGATGTACTGTAAGCTGGGCCAAAAGCTGCAAAAACATTTCTGGAAATAAAGCAGTCTAGTAGAAAGGCATGAATGGCCATATTATACCTACTCCAAATTAATAGCTAGAGGAGGGATCTAAAAGATAAAAGGATATGCATGGAAATTACAGTTAATGACAAATAGTTATTGCCACTACAAACAAATACAGATGGCTAATGCAGATGGGCTGGGGGGTTGGGGGAGGAAAAGGGGCTATAAATAAACATTTCATCATTTTTCTAAACCTATTGAAATTCTGTTCTATGCTACCTGCTCTGCGGAGCCTTCTCTTAGAGATCACAGGCTGAAATGTTCTCCTTGCTCAGGATTTATGATGAGGGTCATGCTTTTAGGGGAGGGACATGGGCTGCCTCATACTTTCATTTTTTCTGGGGAGATATTCTGAGACTAAATATTCTAATTTCTTTTAGCAAACAAGGTAAAACCAGTGCTTTTATATCTCTGCAGTGTTCATAATTCCTTGCATAGTTAAATGGGTACCCTATTCTACCTTTATGTTTGGTGATTTCCATAGTTAAAAATTTTTTAAAGGTGGCCTCACAAGAACGAGTTTGAAATCAATGTTTTGAAAGTTATATATGTGGGGCACCTGGGTGGCTCAGTGGGATAAGCCTCTGCCTTCAGCTCAGGTCATGATCTCCGGGTCCTGGGATTGAGCCCCGCATCGGGCTCTCTGCTAGGTGGGGAGCCTGCTTCCCCCTCTCTCTCTGTCTGCCTCTCTGCCTACTTGTGATCTCTCTCTCGCTGTCAAATAAATAAAATCTTTTAAAAAAATAAAAAATAAAAGTTATATATGTAATAAGACAGTTAAAAATAAGAATTAAAAGTAATATACAAGAGGGGTTCCTGGGTGGCTCAGTGGGTTAAGCTTCTGCCTTCAGCTCAGGTCATGATCTCAGGGTCCTGGGGTCGAGCCCCACATCAGGCTCTCTGCTGAGCAGGGAGCCTGCTTCCCCTCTCTCTCTCTGCCTGCCTTTCTGCCTACTTGTGATCTCTGTCTGTCAAATAAATTTTTTAAAAAATCTTTAAAAAAATAAAATTTAAAAAAGTAATATAGAAGAAAATGTGCAAAAACGATGGGATGAGACCTCAACATTATAGAGTTTAATTCCAAGTAACAGAGGACACAAGATAATTTATAAAGTCCTCATTGTCAAATTTTTAAAAGACGGTGTATGTGACTTTTTCAGGAAACACATTTCATCCTAGATATTAAATCCTAAATAATTTGTTAGGTAGAACTCTGAGGGAAACTGAGTTATGTTCCATATTCTTCCTGGTTGTTTTTCAAAAGAGACAAATACGTCTATGTGGCCTAAAATTTAATCCAGACTCTGTCACTGGTCAGCTATGTTATCACGGACAAGTCACTTAAGCTCTCTATGCCTTGGTTTCTTCATAGGTAAAATGGAGTAAATGGTATCTGTCCAACTTCATGTGGTAGTTTTAAGAATTGCATATAATAGGGGTTCCTGGGTAGCTCAGTTGGCTAAGCATCCAATGCTTGGTTTTTGGCTCAGGTCATGATCTCAGGGTCCTGAGAGTGAGCCCCATGTTGAGCTCCCTGCTCAGCAGGGAATCTGCTTCCCTCACCCTCTCCTCCGTCTCATGCACACCCTCTCTCTCTAAAAATAAATAAATCTTTTTAAAAAAGAACTACATATAATAACTTGGATGAGTGAATTTTTCAGATATAAATTAGTACTCATATTAATACAGGAAGCCCAGTCCTTCTCATATGCCAGGCACTGTTGTGAGTAATTTACTTATTCTATTATCTCATATAGTCTTCACATCAGCCACTTATGAGACAGATACTATTATTACCTCCATTTTGCAGATGACAAAACCGAGGCACTTTCTTGTCCAAGGTCTAATGGCTAGAAGTGGGGGAGCCACACTTCAGATCTAGCCATTCTGGCTTTAACAGCCAGGGCTCTTAACCATGACCCTCTGCTGCTTCTTTCTGGAACCACCAAGGTTTCACTGTGTGGTGTGTTATGGTAAGAACAGCCCTCAGCAGTAAAGAGATGTGTCACAAGAGCATGGCCAGCCAGCTGCCAAGAGACTTACCAAGGTGTCATCTACTTCAGTGGCTTTTTCAGCCTTGCCCCACCCCCACCCCAACCCAGCAAGCCCAGAAACCCAATTCTATCAGCACATGGAGAAGAGCTCCCTTTATCTGGGATAGAACTCATCAACCAGCTCAGAGACTGATATAAGCCTAAAGACCAGTTTTTAAGGAAACAGTGAGAAAAGCAAACTCACCTAGCAGAGGATGCTTGGACTAACAGACGAATGTATTCTTTCTCTGTACCAAGTATTTGAGAAGCCAAGTAACGATCAGAAGTTTGCTTGGCAAGTATGGAATTAGGGGGGCTAATAGGATATTCTTCAACTGAGTCACCTGCCACAGGACTCGAGTACAAAAGTTTCTGCTGTAATTCCTGGAAAACCATAACTCCTGGAAAACCTTTCTGCAAATCATACACTAAAAGTGCAGTGCTTGGGGGGAAAAATAGAGTTAAGGCAAATAACTCAAATCCTGTGCAACTTTTTTGTTTGTTTGTTTTTATTAAGTAGGTCCAACGCGGGACTTGAACACTCAACCCTGAGATCAAGACCTGAGCCAGATCAAGAGTTGGGGGGCTTAACTGACTGAGCCACAGAGGCGCCCCTTGTGCAACACCAACAAAAATAATGGGTACCCAGGAGATGACTTGAGTAGTCCAGACAGGCCGCTTACCCTGGCTGGAGGCTGCCTGAGACGGAGTGAAAATACTCAAAAGCAACAGTGTAAATGCAGGCTTTCAGCTGCTGAGATCATGCAAATGGTGGGGGTACTCTGAGCCAGCAGGCTGGGCACCAGAGGTAGTGCAAGCTACATGTGGAGAGCAGTGCAGGGCTAATCCTGTCCTTTGGGGAAGGACGCCTGGATGCATCCTGAAAGGGCCCCTGCTTTTGCAGCAGCCAAGCTGAAGGTTTTTCCCTTTCCGACTGAAGGTTTTAATTGTATTCCCTTTTGACCAGGCAAAATCTCAAACCAATACAACTTCTACATTATACTGACATCATTCTCCTATTTACCAATCACATGTGAGCTGACTGGTGCTGTAGAAACTCGCCTTGTAGCAAACTAGCTGGTAACTCAGTCCACAGGGGGATAGGTGCTTTTTCTCCAGAAAAGTGCTAAAACATCTACATTGTACTTTCTTTTAAATGACGCCTACAAATATGTAACCTATTTTATCTTTGCCATCAAAAGAAACATTTTTGCAGCACAATGAAGAAATGCAAATCTGACTGCTAATCTAATAATAATAAGAATGATGATAATAATAAGTGGTTTTATTATGATGATAATAGATCAGTGGTTTTCAACTGGGGGCAATTTTGCCCCTTCGTCCCCCCCACACACACACCCCACCCCCTGTCCCATGTCAGCAGACATTTGACAACTTCTGGAAACACTTTTGGTTGTCACAACATGGGTGAGGGAGTGCTACTACTTTCTAGATGCCAGAGAAGCTACAAACCATCTACAATGCACAGAACAGCCTCCCACACAAAGACTTACCCTGCCCACAGCCTCAATAGTGCCCAGATTGAGATACTCTGGCTTAGATGGGCTAAACTCATACTCTGGCTCCTTGGGCTCCCCGTTTCTATCTCTAAGCATGTCCAAGTACCTCTGTTTTCAGAGTCCTATTTTAAATGAGTGTAGTTAGAAGCTGCCTCGTTTATAATCATGGTTTCAGACTCCCTCCCTAAGGGAGGCAGGTGATTTTGCTTGGAAATTTAAGAACTCCTACAACTCTTCCATCACTTGTTTCCATGGTTTACTCCATGGAGAGTTAGCACTCTCATTCAATTAGGATTTTACTAATTGAAAGCTTGAAAAAACTAGCTTGACATTCTCCTCCAAGATATCTACTGCTCCCAATAAGATGCTTCTATGTTTGTATTACCAGGGTAGTAGAACACCAGGCCCCTCTACAATATGATTCAGCTGCCTGAATTTAAGAAGAACAGGAATAAAATTCTTTTCCCAACCCTTCACTAGCTATGTGATTTTAGTCAAGAGATTTAACCTTTGGAGACTTGGGGTTTTTTGTTTTTTGGGGTTTTTTGTTTGTTTGTTTTGTAAAATAGAAGTAACCCCCCACCCCCTCCAATTTCTGGGGTTGTTGGAAAGATACAGTGTGTAAAAGCACATCAGCACTACTTGACCCAAAGCATATACTGGACAAATATAAGTTCTTTTCCCTTGCAATGATACTATACCCAAAATGCCACTGCAAATTTTGCTTCTCTTGCGCTTCAGCTTTCCTTTTTCTGAGTTGCTCTCTGTTTCGCAAATTCCAAGTTCCAGTGACTTCTGTAGAATCAAAATGGAAGTTAGAGGATGTATTGATAAATTGTGGCATTTATCAGCAAGAGTCCTAGGGCACAGTGGTAGAACTTCTACACGAGGTGTCTGTTTTGCTCCCAGCTTTTGGGGGACAACAAAGACCATATCTTATATCCTTGGACTGACCTCCAAAGAATGTCTAGGAGCAAACATTCAGTAAACACTTTTTAAATGAAAGAATCAGTACATAAGTGTGCTATTAACCCATTAATTTCTTCAAAATAATTTTACATATTGTAGAAACATTAAAAAAATCAACCATGTTCTGCCATCCTTAATGTTATAACCTGTTTTCATTTTATTTCTCATACGCATCTAGTCCTTATATTACATAAATCTGTAATGATTGCATACTATAATTTTATCATTATTAACCTAACATTATGTCAGATATATTTTCTACGAGATAGTCCTCATAATTGTAACTTCAATCAAGTTCACGTATTCCTGTTTGCCCGTTCTACTAGCATTTGTTGTTGCCAATTTTATGGGAATTTTATGGCAAATTTTTTTGCCATTGTAGATCAAATTATAATAACATTCATGCATACAGCTTCTTTCCTCTTGAATTTTTTCCTTAGGATGATGTTTCTCCAAGTTTTTTGCAAAGTTATCAAAAAAGGGTTCTGTTGTCATCTAAGTTTGTGAAAAGTTAGTGGGTCTTCTTAGAACTGTAAAGTGATTATAAACTTCCACTGAGATTCCAAAGAGACAGAGCATGCCCCTTGGACCACAGGACCTTTTGTTCGTAGGATAGAAGTACTTGGTGAACTTTGATGGGGGAATAACATACCTTTATTTTTACCAATGTTTAAGTAAATTTCCTTCAATTATGAATATAGGTGACAAACCACAGCAATTTTTGAACAGTAACTGACTTTGTCACCAAAAGAAATCACAGTTTTTTTCATATCACAATACAGTTGTTACAGATACCTAAAAATACAATTTATTTGAGATGATATATTCAATCTGATACAATGGTTTTAGACTCACCTTAATATGATCTTGTTATTTAATGCATTTACAAATAAGCATATATATTACTATACTACAATTTTTTAATTTTGATAATTGTATCTTATAATTGTTCCCTCTGGAATCCTATCAATTTTATGTATTTAAAATATTTATTTTATAAAAGGGTCTATAGGTTTATCAGAATGCCAAAGAGATCCATAGCACAAAAAAAAAATTTTAAAAACTATCTCAAAGCCTAGAGTTCTGCAAAATGTTTTGAGACATGTCACTTTAGAACAGACTCAAGGCTAAGATTAGTGAGTCAAAAGAATTAACTCTATTACAGATCGGACATTAGGTAGACCAGATCTCTTTCCAAAAATCATAACAAATTTATACTACCATAGAAGTATAAGCATGTACTTGTCTTACCACAGCCATCCAGTATTGGGTATTTTCATTATCTTTCACTTGAATGTATTATTAATAACTTGTTATTTCCTTGTGTTTCTCTGGCTTATTAGAATCAAGGCACTATAAGTCACCTCAGAAGGTATATAACCCCAATACTTTCCATCTAAGGTTATATGAACATACTCAATTATGTCCTTTTTGGGGGCCAGATCCATAAAATTTAGGAAAATAATCACAGCCCCAGTTCTTCCCAAGAGTCACCAAGTCATCTGAGTGGCCACTAGAGACCTCTGAAGATCTCTTTCATTACCTGGAACATGGTTCTCTTCTTGACGAGGATTAGGTGTCTGATGGCGTTTCAAGCGAGATTGGTCCTTTCCCAAATCCATCTTGCTGTAATACCTTCCTGCTATTTGGTCTAACTTCCACAAGCAACCTTTTTAAAAATATCAAAAGCACCTAACAGTTAGACACACACAGGCACACAAGTTTACTTGTCACTTAACTTCCCGCCTAAAAGTTTTATCTGGTTGGACCACAGCTGTTGGGCACTTCTACTTTCTTTATCACACTGCACAGGTATGAGTGAGTAGGGGGTATGGTTGGTCCTACTATCCTCATCCTGTAGCATAGTTACTGGTTAGAGAGGGAACTCCATGGCCACAGCCTGGCATGGCGCAACCTCTGGTATAGCAGTCATTTATTTCTGTTGCCTGAAAAGTGCCTGAGTCTGATGGTCCTTTATGGAAGGATCTTTCTACACTATGGAAGTAACATAGTGTAGAAAGAACCCTAGGTCTCGGACCTAACCAGTCCATGTCCTAGAATAAGTCACCCCCCCTTTCTGTGACTCTATGCAAGGTGGGTAAATAATTCCTGACACCCCACAGAGTTCTTGCGAAAAAGTGAAAATAATGAATGTGAACATTATGAAGGGGTGAAATTAGACTTACATGCTTTTCCTGCAAATGGCATTCTTGCTACCTCAATCCTTTGCAAAATAATGTAAAGTCTTGCTGTAGACGCTGTGAAATTTAGATGATAGAGCCAAAGAATGAAATTAGGAAACTGAAGCAAATCTGAACTCTTTTCTGTTCACCTGATCATTCTCCAGTGACTCAAGGTAACTAGTGAAATCCACTGTTACTTGTCCAGGAAATGTCAAAAAGAATTTCTTAATGAAAATATGACCGTGTTATGCCACAGAAATTAAGTTGGAACCAAAGGAATTACTCCAACCCCGGTCGGTTACCCCATTTGAGAAGGCAAGGAGGCTGTTGAAGTAGGGAAGGATGACTGAACACACCCGGATGTGAGCAGCCCGTCTGAGAAATGAGGGTTTAACAGTATTCTAGAGTCACAGATTGTATTGAAGCGAGCTTGAACTCCAGTGTTGCTCAGGTCAGTTAAATAGCCTGGGGGCCAACTGACCTAGCTACACCCAGGGACAATATCGGTATCTATCTCATGGTATTATTGGGAAGATTAAATCAAATACTCTGTATAAAACATTTTCTATGTGCCCAGCATATTGAACTTGCTAACAAGTATTAGCTGCTTTTATTAATATTAAAAATATACTAACCAGATTTTGGTAAACCAAGTCATTGTTGTTGTTGTTTTTCAAAGACTTTATTTTTTATTTATTTATTTGAGAGAGAAAGAGAGAGAGAGAGTACAAGTGGAGTGAGAGTCAGAGGGAGAAGCAGACTCCCTGCTGAGCAAGGAGCCAGATACAGGACTCAATCCCAGGGCCCCGAGATCATGACCTGAGCCCAAGTCAGACACTTAACTGACTGAGCCACCCAGATACCTCCCACGACATAGTTTTAAATGCACTAAAGAAATGCAGGAAATCTGGAAAGAATCCTTTATAAAGAGAAAACTTTTAAAATGTGAATAGGTGCCCCCTGCTTTTCTAAACTCTTATGGCATTGGAAGTAGAAGGGCCCGCAAAACCATCTAGTTCCCTCCCCCATTTTATATATGGATAAACTAAGAGCCAAGGAGGGAATGATTTACCTGCCCCAAATTTTCTTATATATTGCCAACAGCACCTCTTACTGATTATAAGACAGCTTATCTTTTTCAGGCTTGATCTTGTCTGGGTATGAAAATGTATGAACAGGGCGCCTGGGTGGCTCAGTGGGTTAAGCTGCTGCCTTCGGCTCAGGTCATGATCTCAGGGTCCTGGGATCAAGTCCCGCATGGGGCTCTCTGCTCAGCAGGGAGCCTGTTTCCCTCTCTCTCTCTGCCTGCTTCTCTGTCTACTTGTGATCTCTCTCTGTCAAATAAATAAAATCTTTAAAAAAAAGAAAATGTATGAACAGATGAGAGAAGCAAGTTTTTCAAACACACTGGAAAATATTGAGAATCACATAACAAACACCCATATATACCCAGCACCCAGAATTAATGTGGTTTTCAGTCACCAGATCCTAAAGCTTTAGCTTTACATTCCTAAATTTTCCAGTCTTTCTCATCAGAAAACATCTAAAAACTCATAACCTCAGAGACTGTCTCTACAAAGGAGTCCTGGAAGGAATGGAAGGTGTAATTTGCAATTTGCGTCTTGATCGTTTTTGGATTTTCAGATATAGGGCTTAAAGAAATCAAATACAAATTGAAGTAACTTTAAAAATTTTAAAGTAACATGTTGGTTAACAACATAATAAAAAATAAAAAATTTTAAAGTAGTATAAAGTAAATGATAAAGTTTATCATTTACAACTGGCATCTTAAATATTGATCCCTTTATTTGAAATGCTTTAATTCTTACTAGTTGTTTCTTATGATAGCTCAGTTAAATAACCTTATCAGATATCTCTGAGGTACCTTACAGAAGATGCGGAAGTACTTCTTAATGAGAATGATCTTTACTCAGGGCTTATTATGTTCAGTTCAATGATTTGGTAAACCTTAGGGAATGCCACGTACTGTGCCAAAAGTTGACCAAGACTGTCAGGACGCAAAGACCGATGGATATAGTCCCTGAATTCTGGGCACCGTATGCTCAAGAAAGTCATACACGTCCTTATTGTAAGGAAATAATAAATTCTTTGGTCTGCGGCAGCCTTCCTAAGTTAATTTCACTCCTGCCTCGTGTTCCCTGTATCTAGAAGCAGACTGCGGAGGGACTATGAGAGGGCGGGGTCTCAAGTTAACAGTAGTAGGGCCAATACAGGGCGGAGGGGACCAGTGGAAGGACCTTGGAGTAAACTAGATTGGAAGTCAGGCAAGGTGTCTTTGATGTGATAAGCAGGCCAGAGCAGGAACTTGTCTGGGACAGAAGAAGCCACACAGGAAGTTCCGAAGCCATAGTTCATTGTCCCTTTTCTCTGTAGAGAACTCTGGGGCCATTACCAGAATGTGAGATATTAGCCATTGAAGGCTGGCTACTTTTTAAACAAATGCTGCCTCGTTCTAGAGTTATTTGCATATAAACACACATGAAACCTCTCTCCAAGCGTCAAGCTCTTGGGGGGGGTTGGGTAGTTACCTCTCCTGACTCCCCTTTCCATCCCCACGGTATAGTCTAGTGAGAGGCAGTTGCAGGAGCACCCCCATAAATGCCTACGCTCCTGTGTGCAGGGCTTGCAGCCTGTGAAGGCACTTTACACACTCAGAGGACCTGTGGTGGCTGTGACTTAATAATAGTAATCCCATCGTCTGTTCCAGAACTCTGCCTGGTGTCACTCACGGGCACCGTCCTATGTTCTAGAGATATGGCAGCTAAAAGATAAAAACCCCTGTCTGGATAGAGCCTACGGTCTAATGGGGAGAGATAAATACTAAGCAAATTTGTTAAAAATGTAAAATATCGGATGGTGATGAGTGTTTTGGAGAAAACTGAGCATGGAACAATAGGCTAAAGAATAAGGGGGGAGGTTGATGCCGGTTGCTGTGTAAACAGGATGGTCAGGGAAGGCTTGACGGATAGTGACAGTTTTTTTGTTTTGTTTGGGTTTGTTTTTAAGATTTTATTTATTTATTTGACAGAGAGAGAGATCACAAGTAAGCAGAGAGGCAGACAGAGAAAGAAGTGGAATCAGGATCCCCACTGAGCAGAGAACCCGATGTGGGGCTCGATCCCAGGATCCTGGGATCATGACCTGAGCTGAAGGCAGAGGATTAACCCACTGAGCCACCCAGGTGCCCCTGGTTTTTTTTTTTTTAATCTTTTTTTTTTAATTTATTTATTTGATAGAGACAGTGAGAGAGAAAACACAAGCAGAGGGAGAGGGAGAAACAGGCTTGCCGGCCAAGTAGGGAGCCCGATGTGGGGCTTGATCTCAGGATGACCTGAGCCAAAGGCAGATGCTTAACGACTAAGCCACCCAGATGACCCGATAGTGTGATAGTTGAGCAGAACTGAAAAGGTGAGGGGCCAGCCAGGCTGATAGCTGGGAGGGTATTATTCCAGGCAAAGGGACATAGGCAAATGGCCTGCGGTGGCAGGAAGTAGTTTCAGAGGAGTAAGTCTGTTGCTCTTTGTAGGGATTTCTACTCCGATTGAGATGGAGAGTCATTGGATGGTTTTGAAGAGAAGACTGATGTGATCTGACATATATTTAAAGGATTATTCTGACTACTGTGTGGAGAACAGACTCTTATCGACAGGGGAGGAGGCAGAAGCAGGGAGACCAGTTAGAAGGGTCTTGTAATAATCTAAGTGAGCTATGATTAATCCTTGATCTGTGATGGGAGTGGTGAAGAGGTCAGATTCTGGAGCAGCTTCCAAATTGGATATGGAGTGAGAGAGAGTCAAAGACAAAGACAAGGGTTTTGGTCAGAGCACCAGGAATGATGGAGTTACTGTTTAATACATGAGGAAGGCTGGGAGGAGCAGGATTGCCAGAGATGATGAGGAGTTTAGTTTGGTAACGTGCGAACAGATTAGGGAGAAAATAGCAAAGGAACAGCCAGCGAAACAGAGGAAAACCAGAAAATTATAGTGTCCCAGAAGTCACTTGGAAAAGATGTTTCAAGGAGGAGGGAGTGGGGGGCGCCTGGGTGGCTCAGTGGGTTAAGCCACTGAGTTCGGCTCAGGTCATGTTCTCAGGGTCCTAGGATGTTCTCAGGGTCCTAGGATCAAGCCCCACATCGGGCTCTCTGCTCAGCAGGGAGCCTGCTTCCCCCCTCTCTCTGCCTGCCTCTCTGCCTACTTGTGTTCTCTCTCTCTCTCTGTCAAATAAATTTTTTAAAAAAATCTTTAAAAAAATTTTTTTAAAGAAAGGAGGAGGGAGTGATCGATTGTGTCAAATTTAGCTAATAGGTAGAGTAGAAGGAGGATTGAGGGTTGTCTATTTCCTAACAATTCAATTCATTATAGACTGGAGCCCAGAGGGGCCGTATAGGCAGGATGAAGTTACATGATTTGCATTTCCCAGTGCACAACGGAGAGGCATTGCTCCTCTTACAACAATTAAGAATTTCCAGTTGAGGGGCGCCTGGGTGGCTCAGTGGGTTAAGCCGCTGCCTTCGGCTCAGGTCATGATCTCAGGGTCCTGAGATCGAGCCCCGCATCGGGCTCTCTGCTCAGTGGGGAGCCTGCTTCCCTCTCTCTCTCTCTGCCTGCCTATCTGTCTACTTGTGATCTCTCTCTGTCAAATAAATAAATAAAATCTTAAAAAAAAAAAAAAAAGAATTTCCAGTCAAGGGGCTCCAGGGTGGCTCAGTCAGTTAAGTATCTGACTTTGGCTCAGGTCATGATCTGAGGGTCCTGGGATCAAGCCCCATGTCAGGCTCCAGGCTCAGCGGGGAGTCTGCTTGTCCCTTTGCCCCTCCCCCTGCTCATGCACACACACACGCACACACACACACACACACACACTCTCTCTCTCTCTTTTTCTCTCTCTCTCAAAAAATAAAAATAAAATCTTTAAAAAAAAAAAAAAGAAAAAGAATTTCAAGCCAACCACAGCAGAAAATTAAACCCAGAGCAGGGCTTTCCCTACTTTCACAAGTGTTTCACAGGATCCTTGCAGTAGACATAAAATAATTATGGTCATTTTTCAGATTTTTCAGACCAATGTATGGTCATTTTTATACTGGTGCTAAGTATCGAGTGATTTCAGGTCACAGAGCTAGAGTAAATCTGGAACCTGGGCCTTCAGCCTCTGAGCCTGGTCTTCCTCCTACAAGACCAAACCAATTATTGAGGGAGAGAATGGCTTTTCCACCTCCTGACCCATCTGGAGCAAGTTTAAATATTGAGGCCCTGTTCAGGCATTTCCGAAGGCTGATTGAACCGTGCGGGTGTGGGGAGGAAGGAAACATGGCTAAGAACTTCTGCCCCAGGGCTCTTATGATGGGGGTGAGAAGGGAGGAGGGCACATGAGGTACTATCCCGTCAAAAACATGGTCTGAGCTTTTCTGCTCATGGATGCCGCCAAGTACACATCGTTAAAGTTCCACTCCCACCGCCATCAGGTCTAAGTCAGAGTCTCCCAAGGAGCCTGAAGAGCTGTGGAAGCTCTTCATCGGAGGTCTGGGCTTTGAAACAACCAATGAGAGTCTGAGGAGCCATTTTGAGCAATGGGGAACACTTAAAGACTGTGCGGTAATGAGAGATCCAAACACCAAGTGCTCCAGAGGCTTTGGCTTTGTCACGTAGGCACATGTGGAGGAGGTGGGGGCCACCATGAACACAAGGCCACACAAGATGGATGGAAGAGTTGCGGAACCAAAGAGGGCTGTCTCAAGAGAAGATTCTCAAAGACCTGATGCTTACTTAACTGTGAAAAAGACTTCTGTTGGTGACATTAAAGAAGACACTGAAGCATATCATCTAAGAGATTATTTTGAAAGGTATGGAAAAATCGAAGTGATTGAGATCATGACTGACTGAGGCAGTGGCAAAAAGAGGGGTTTTGCTTTTGTAACGTTTGACGGCCGTAACTGTAGATAAGACTGTCATTCAAAAATCCCATACTGTGAATGGCCACAACTGTGTAGTAAGGAAAGCCCTATCTCAGCAAGAAATGGCTAGTGCTTCATCCAGCCGGAGAGGTCGAAGTGGTTCTGGAAACTTCGGCGGTGGTTGTGGAGGTGGTTTTGGTGGGAATGACCACTTTGGTCGTGGAGGGAACTTCAGTGGTCGAGGTGGCTCTGGTGGCAGTCAAGATGGTGGTGGATATGGTGCCAGTGGGGATGGCTATAAGGGATGCAACTTTGGAGGTGGTGGAAGCTATAATGATTTTGGCAATTAGAACAATCAATCCTCAAATTTTGGACCCATGAAAGGAGGAAATTTTGGATGCAGAAGCTCTGGCCCCTATGGTGGTGCAGGCCAGTCCTTTGCCAAACCAGAAAACCAAGGTGGCTATGGTGGTTCCAGCAGCAGCAGTAGCTACGGCAGTGGCAGAAGGTTTTAATTACTGCCGGGAAACAAAGCTTAGCAGGACAGAAGAGCCAGAGAAGTGACAGGGAAGCTACAGGTTACAACAGATTTGTGAACTCAGCCAAGCACAGTGGTGGCAGGGCCTATCTGCTACAAAGAAGACATGTTTTAGACAATACCCATGTGTATGGGCAAAAAACTCTAGGACTGCATTCAAGACTATTTGTATAACAGGTTATTTTAGTTTCTGTTCTGTGGAAAGTGTAAAGCATTCCAACAAAGGGTTTTAATGTAGATTTTTTTTTTGCACCCATGCTGTTGATTGCTAAATGTAATAGTCTGATCCTGACACTGAATAAATGTATCGTTAAAAAAAAAAAAACATGATCTAATACAAGTGCTCCAAAGCTAATGTGGTTATGTGTTTTCAGGCTATACTGATAATTATAGAGCCTCCACACCAGGGGAGATCAGAGTTCTGCTACACTGTGGTTTGTCATGTCATATCCAGAGCATCATACTGTGAGGACCATGGGAGTGATATTTGAGAATGTTCAGGAAAAAGAGCAAAGGGTATGTAGCAGTACCACTCCCCGGCGGTGTTATCTGGGGGGAAATTGCTGCGTTCTTGCTAATCCTCGGCTTCTTCCCTTGTAAAACAGGAAAAGTAAAACTTCACCTGGATTCTGTGGTGGACAAAACCAATCTTGAGAGCTTTTTGTAGAATGAAAAGCACTGTGCGGATAGGAGTGTCCTAAACATGGGCGGTGTTCGTGGTATTGTTGGAGTGGTCTTGTGATGCACCTAGGCATTCTCCTAGAGTGCATTTGCGCACACAAGTCAAGAAAGGGAAGATATCATGCACTTACTTTTCTTAGTGTTCCTTTCTTGCTAAGATACACTTTCGAATTCTTTTCAAAGAGTGGATCAAACTTTGTTTTCCTAAGTGGAGAGGGAGAGTTTCTGGTTTCCCTCTCTCATGGTCTGTGGATACGTGATAAATGAGTTCTGTCTCTGCTTAACCAGATGCTGCAGGACTCCTAGTGATAACATGGTCTACGGTTCTAGAACGGCGGCAACCTGCCTTTCAATCTAGTTTGTGGCAAAGGTCGTCCTCTGGCCTCCTCCACCAATGTTTCTTTCTACTTCTTACTGTATAGACAAATAAGCACCTCCCGATGAACCATGAGTGGTCATTTGTCTGGGGAAGATCAATTCTGCTCCCACCTTAGCCGCCATCACATCTTTCTTTCCCCAATTTCTTGAACTCCTACCATACTCAGTTGACCTTCTTTTCCCCACAACCCTTCTTCCTTCCTTCACACCTGCAGTCTAGTTTTTCTTTCCACATTTCATTCTCTCATCAGTGATGCCTAGCGGCCAAGTCCTGTGGCCCCTCTGCAGTTCTACCTCTGAGAGGGAGAGACTTGCTCACGACCCCTTCCAGCACTTCCACCCTCCTTGAAACCTGCTCTGGCTCTTGGCATCTGTGAGGATATATTTTTCACCTCTCTCCCTCTTCCTCATCCTTCCTCACAGGCTTCTCTTTCACTCCCCGCAATGTGTGAGGTATTTCCCAAGGATGACTCCCTGATCTTTTCTCTGTATACTTCCACCCTTCTTAGGTGGTTGATCCAACTGTAGACCTTCTGCTATTACCTCTGTGCATATATCTTCTAAATAAATATCAGTCTGAGTTCTAAGCTCAAGTTTTCAAGGGTCTCTTGTATGTCATTCATTACAGAATATCCCACTGCACCTCCAACTTAGCATAACAAAAACCAAATCTATCTGCCCCCTCAGGCCACTTTCCTCTTTGGTTTCTTTCTGTCAGAACAATAGCGCCATGCTCCTGGTCATCTAGTTGTAAATCTTCACAACTGTCTTCCCCTCTGCCTCCTCACTCCTTCTCACATCCAGGGGGACACAGTTCCATGAGTTTCTTCTTCCCAGTGTCCCACATGTTCATTCCCACTTATCCTTCCCCATGCCACCATCCCAGAGAGGGACCTCACCTTCTCACTCAAGTACTGGAAAAGCTTCCTAGGTGGATTATCTGTTTCCGTTTTCCCTCACTATCCCCAGACTGTCCTGCAGAAACAGCCAGAACATTCCCCTTATGGCTCACTCTGAACCGGTCACTACCTTGTATACAATACTGTCAAGTCTCAGTAATACTTTCAGGATAAAGACTTAATTTCTGGCCTTTAAAGCCAACTTCCTGATCTTCCTTCCCATTCCTTTCCCAAAAATACCCAATATTCTAATTAAACAGTGCCATTGGTCCTCTCTGTTTGCCCTTGGTTCTTTCTAACACCCACAGTACCTTTATTCACACCTCCTGGCTGTTCAGTGTTCTTTCCTTGTGTCTGCCCATCCAGGTAGTGAGCGCCTCCATCACAAAGCCTTTGATGACGGTGATGATGATGGCGATGAGGAGGAGGAGGTGGAGGAGATGTTAGCCACTTTACAAACACATAATAGGTACCTAATGTTTTATATATATTATCTCATTCAGTCTGTCCAGCTAATATTATCTCTGTTTCACTGATAAGGACATTACTGGTTTAAAGAGATTAGGTTATATCCCAAGATCATCTAAGTGCATTAGTGCTAGACTTAGGGCTTAAAACCAAGGCAGTCTGTCTTTAAAGTTCAGATTGACCATTCTGTTCTACTACCTCTTTGTACCTAGAAGTGATCTCTCTTTCCAAACTGTAATCACACTTAAGGTGAGCTTCTTGTATGGTAAATACCACATAATAGTTTAAATTTTATTGTTCACATATATACATCTTTTCTACAATATTCATTTGGCAAAAATGTAACAAACGTTTACTGCCAGGATCTTCACGGAGAATTGGTGACATGGAGAAGAATCAAACAAGAGTCCTTTTCCCCAAGAAACTCAGTCTGATTGAGGGTGAGAGATAACAAGCAAATCTGAATTAGAATATAACACAGTGTGGTCATTTTAATATCGATATTTCCAAATGCTCTGAGAGTAGATATGGAGTACTAATTCTATTGCCATAGAAGTGGAAAGATAAGGATATTACACTGTGCACCACGGCTATAATTCTTATTTGTAACTGCCATGGAATGAATCTGCATTGGTCAACAAGCAGATTTGGGAAAATGAAGAGGTTTTATATGTATGTAATAGTGTCATGGGTTTTTTTTTTTTCACTTTATACTAGTGGGTTTTTCCCCCTTTTAGTCATTTCACACACAAAAGTAATAATAACCAATGTTTATTGAGCACCTGCTTACCATATACCAGGCACTATTCTAAGCACTTTATATAGAATTCATTTGGTCTCCGCAACTTCCTTTAAGGTAAGTAAGTATTGATATCCTTGTTTTACAGATGAAGAAACTGAAGAAGAGGCATGACCCTGCACCATAAATCACCCACTTAGTAAATGGCCCAGCTGGGTGGTTTGGATCTAGAGATTTATTTTTTTAAAGATTTTATTTATTTATTTGTCAGAGAGAGAGTGAGTGCACAAGCTGGGGGAGCGGCAGAGGGAGAGGGAGAAGCAGACTCCCCGCTGAGCAGGGAGCCCGATGTGGGACTCGATCCTAGGACCCTGAGACCATGACCCGAGCTGAAAGCAGACACTTAACCGATTGAGCCACCCAGGTGTCCCAGCAGGATCTAGAAGACCATACGTTTAATTACCTTGTTCTCTTACCTCTCAAGTCTACTTCTTTCATATTGAATAAAATAAGATAGCAATATATTTTCTTTTCCAATCCCCTCCCTCTCCTGGCTTCTCCTTTTCCCTCTCCCTTATACTTCCCCTCTTTTCAACATTTGTTGACTCTTTATTCTGCCCAAAACAATGCAGGGTGTTGGGGATACAAAGGCAAATTAACAAAACACAGCATACATAGAACAGTAAGAAAACATGGATGAGGGACACTAGCCAAGGTGGAAAGAGAAGGACTTCTTTGAATAGATGATCTTGAGCTTAGTTTTGAAGGGTGACTAGGAACTAACTATTGCAACACAGTAAGGCTAAGAGCAAAAAACACAGGCTCTGGAGTCTGATCTGAGGTTCTTCGCATCAGGTTGTGTACAACCTAGGGAAAGTTACTTAAAACCTCCCACCCTTGATCCCCTTGTATACGGAATAGCTATCATAACACCTACCTCTCATGACTATTACGGAAATTTAAAATGAAAAATTATGGAAAACATTCAGCTCACAGATGACCTTAATATGCTGGCTGTTATTATGATTGCTCATAATCTAATAGAACCACTAAATAGTAAAGTTGAGCAAGGCTTTAGAGTTATTTTCAAGGTAAGAAAGTGGAGATCCAGAGGGAGGCCAGTGTCACACAGGCTTAGTAGCAGTTAGAACTGGAACCTGGATCCTTTAAGAGTTCTACCACTCTCCTTTTACTTGTCTGGTATTCTGAACTCTCTTGTCTACAAGTCAATCTATTTCATTCCCTTGTTTAATGTGTATTTCCCAAACTTTCCAATTGTTTACATTCCCTACTTGTGACTTTTGCCAGATTCTTATAATAACATTTTCTATATTATTATTTGCTTAATATTTTTTCTTCAGATGAACTTATTTTTAATGAAAGCATTTCAAACATTTTTTTAAAATATTTTATTTATTTATTTGACAGAGAGAAATCACAACTAGGCAGAGAGGCAGGCAGAGAGAGGGGGAAAGCAGGCTCCCCACTAAATAGGGAGCCCAATGCGGGGCTCGATCCTAGGACTCTGGGATCATGACCTGAGCTGAAGGCAGAGGCTTAACCCACTGAGCCACCCAAGTGCCCCTCAAACATTTTTTTTTTAAGTAGGCCCCAGGCCCCATGTGGAGCCCAAGGTGGGCCTTAAACTCACCACCCTGAGATCAAGACCTGAGTTGAGATCAAGAGTCGGATCTTTACTAAAAGTGTTTCAAACAGAAATTTTATATCACCATTGTACACAGAAAACCAGTCACAGGTTTGTGCTGTAATAAATTCTATTTCATCCAAGGCACATTAAAGTAAATACCAAGCTATTAAAATAAAAAACATTTCATCTAATTATCTGCACTTCCCCAAGTGGAATGCATACCACATCTGGGAAATGCTGGCCTATGTAATTAATCAATGAATCTTCTCATTTTACAGAAGTTCTAGATCATGTCCAAATCCATCTGAAAACCAAACTGCCCTTTGCGGTGGCTGGTTTATGACTCAGAAGGAACAGAGCAAAAGACTCACCTCACTCTCTGGCCTGCTACTGACTCACTATTATTCATATCAGCAACTCTCATTAATATCTCTAGTTGAACACTAGCCTCTCCTATTTTTGCTATTTCTTCATCCCTTGGAGTTTTAGCAATTCTGGCAATGAACATACTCTAGAAACTAACATAATGGGGCGCATGGGTGGCTCAGTGGGTTTAGCCTCTGCCTTCGGTTCTGGTCATGATCTCAGGGTCCTGGGATCGAGCCCCGCATCGGGCTGTCTGCTCAGCTGGGAGCCTGCTTCCCTCTCTCTCTCTCTCTGCCTGCCTCTCTGCCTACTTGTGATCTCTCTTTCTGCCAAATAAATAAATAAAATTAAAAAAAAAAAGAAAGAAAGAAAGAAAGAAACTAACATGATGCTTTAGTTCCGTTTATTTGGAAGTTTCAAATCCCTGCTTCCAGCAGATTCTATCCTCCCCGACTTGGAATTTATAGTTAAAGAAACCTAGATCAGTCCCTGCCGCAAAAGGGACCCCTGCTGAGGAACTGCAACCTTCTGAATGGTTCCGCACGCCACGCCACTGCTGCCCACCCCCACTCAGAGGGCCCTGCACAGGTGTGTTTTCAGTAAATAGTCATCACCTGAACCAACTGGGGTAGAGGGGCTCTGGCTAGAACTGCTGCCACTAGGTGGACATCTATGGCAATTGCACCATTCTCATCTGCCAATGAAGTCAGAGCTTTGGCTCCAGCACTTTCTTTCAGAGGCCGCCAGCCTTCCTCCCTCATTTACTGACACTCTCTGTTCCTCCTCCCGGCAAGCCCTCCTCTGGTGAGTTAGCACTGGGGATGTTTGCATACCAAACACTTAGCTAATTGATAGTCTGTCACAATCTGCTCAACAAATGGTAGGCTTTTTTGTTTTGTGTGTGCCCCCTGTGTGTGTGTGTGTGTGTGTGTGTGTGTGTTTAGTGACATGTTGGTTGTATTTTTAGCCAGGTTGGGAAAGGAAGAGAAGGAGTTACTCTGGCAAGCAGAAAATGTCTTGCCAGGGTCTTTCTTGCCTGGCGTTCTCTTAAGTGGCTGTGAGCGCCTTTAACAGATGGAGTTCAGTTATATGCGCCAATCTGATTTTATCAGCACATATCCTGGGCAAGATCAACTCGAGGATGAAGACTTCCTTTGTGCTTCTCTATGTGTTGTCTTGTCACCCTTTCTTGTTAGTACTCTCTCCTCATTTTAAGGAAACCAGCCTTGGTCAGCCATGAGAGACGCCAGTGTGGGAGTCACATAAAAATGTCTGACACTCCACGGGGATAGAAGATGGTGGCAGTCCTGGCCCAGCCTTTGTAGTGAACCTTCCAACCTCCCCCATCAGCAAGAAGCACATTTTATTCTTAAAGTAAGTGGCAGAATGTTCTTGGTAATCAAGAGAGACACTAAAACAAACCCAGACAGAAGAGCCATCCTCTAAGACCGCCAGCAACACCCAGAATGGCCCATAATTCTTCTATCTGAAATAGGAGGTCATGTGTTACTATTGATACAGCCTTTATCATTAAAGTTGGACGTTGTACTTCACCTCTCAGGAAACATTAACTCAAAGGAACCACTACCACCCTGAACAGCATGTGGTACAGCGGGTAGAGCCTGGACTCTTGGATCAGAAGATAAATAGGGTATCTATTTGCACAGAACTGCTATTAGCTGCTGTTTTTACCCAGTCCAGATGGGTGTATAATACTTCTTTCTCATACAGGGAGACTGGGGAGAACCTTGTCAGACAGAACATAAATAACTTCTTTGGTCCATCCCATGAAGGCAGACTTTACTTTCTAGAAAACCACACACCTACTCTGACTTATGGAAACCTCCATTCCCATAACCCACTACCAAATATGACACTGAAATGGATTTAGTCATCTCTCTGAGAGGAAAGAATAGAGTGGAACTGCACTAATCCAGTCAGTTTAATTCCCCTTTAATGGGAACTAAATTAAGATCTCAATAATACATGATGACAGTTCTGCTTTCTAGTCTTATATAGAAACTACGCCTCTAGCTCTAAATCCTAGTTATCTCTGACAGAGGAAGTGAAGCATTGATCAAGTAATAGAGTTGTTATGTTGTAGGGAGTAAAAGGAGTGGAAAGAAGAGATTGATGATCAGGGGGGTGGAATAAAGTACCAGGGTGAGACTTCTGGGTAAGTCAGACAGGGATGCCAGGCTGGGAGGGCGAGCTATTTATTTTGGGATTTACGAGGGAGCTCAGAGTTGTGCTTAATGAAGTTACATGAACCTGGGACACAGTAAACACTAAATTTCACAGAATCTCATAGCTGGAAGAAATCTTTAATGTCATCGGGTCCCATTTCCCAAGAAATGCCTGGAAACCCTCTATAGACTCAGTTTATTAGAAAATGTTTCTGTTTTTAAGCACTTTGTTCAGGAAATCAGCAGGTACTTTTTAAGTAACCCCCATTTGTTATAGTTCTGATTGTTACTTCACGACCCTGGGAAGTTGTTTCCTGTTTAGGGGCCTCTGCTCAAAAGTGTGACCTCTCTGGCTATTAGTTTCCGTGTCTATAAATAACCACCCCAGATCTCTCCTGCTGCCCCTCCGCGTGGAGAACAGGCAAAAGAAGACAGGAGAAGTGGGAGTGTCTTGGTAACCCTGAAGTATGGTGCACTTTTAAAAACATGACAAGTGTTGCTTTCCCTCCTGTATTCCTCACCAGTGACATCCCCCCATGCTGCGCAAGAGGGGCAGTGTTCCATCCCTCTCTGTTCTACCAAGAAGCTTCTCACTCTTGCTCTTCATTCTTTTCATAGAGTGACCCACAGACCCTGTAAGGGCATTCACCCAGGGATCCTGGGCTTTTGCATAAAAAACAAGGAACAGGCTTGTGCTAGTCACAGCGCTGACTGCCTGGGGTGGGGATGGGGGAGGGCTAGTGTGCAGGGAGGCTAGCAGTGGTCTTCTGGCTCCTCCCCACATCCTCGACTACCAGGGCCACCTGTCCACAGGCCTCTATGGACCCCTGAAGAACCCAGCAGTAGCAGCCCACACAGAGGAGCCTCGTAGTCCTCGGTTTTCAGTCACAGTGGAGCCTCCTAATGGCCCAGACTGTTGTTCCCTTTAAGAGGCATTTAGTAAGTGTTTGTGATGCGTCAGGCCCTGCGCTTGCTACTGGGAATAAGATATGAGTCAGAAGCACTGCCTTCCCCAGAGACCTCACAGATTAGTGGGAGAAACAGACTCATGAGTGTCATACACAAGACGTGTTATGACCAAAGCCTGAACTGTGTTTGGGCTTAGCCGATGGATCACTTCAGTCTATCTGAGGCTCTGGTTCAACTTCTCAGAGGAGATGAGGTTCAAACAGAACCTTAACAGGGGTGTAGAAATTCCCCAGGGGAAAAGAAGAGGCATTGCAGGCAGGGGAAGCTCCTAGTACAAAGGCACAGAGCTGTGGGAGGACACCTGGGTTCTGGGTAATGGGAAGGCCGGAGTGTGTGCTCCCATCAGGGAGTGGGAAGACCTGAAACCAGAAGGCTTGTGAGGGCCCAAGGATCAGGGCTTTATGATGTCATGGCAGCCACTGAAGGATTTTAGGGAGGACAATGTCATGGTCAGGTAAGGTTCTTAGAGTATTTAGGTGACAGTGTGGGGGCTGGGTGGGAAAGGAGAGAGAAGATAAATTAAATGAGGGTACTGAAAGGAAGGGACAGATCCTAGAGAGATTGAGGAGGTAGGATTGATAGACCTTATTATGAAAAAGCCTAAGAGCTTCTGACACAGGAAATTAAAAAAGAAAGAAGGCACACTGAAAATTTAGTGAGGGCCCACAGGTAAGATGACAAGATATCTTACATCAACTTGACTTCAACTTCTTGACTGCCTGGCCAAGATGGCCTGGGTAATGTTTGCGGACAGGAGGTCAAAAGCTTTTTTACCAAAGGTTTTTCCTAGCTGCAGAGGTGGAGTCGGCAGATCTGGCTGACTGAGCCAGTATTCCCTTCCTCCTTCTCTCCTGCTCCACATATCTCAGTCCTGAAACTGATTGCTTTGTCAAGGAGGTTGCCATCCCCAAATAGAAGTAGAGCCGCATTTGAGTTAAGGATTGGCAAATAAC